CACAAGAGTAACCAACAACTTTTGAAAGTCAAGAAGTTTTAGAAAGGATAAATTGAATAAATAAATTGTTGTTACTTTAATTGTAAATAATTTCACCAGGTTACTTCTCTGCATACAATTGCATTGCATCAATTTAAATAAACAGGACTGATTAATGTTACCTCAAAAGTAAAAATATTTTATTCAATGAAACACGTTCTTAGTAGACAAACATGACATTTTTAAATAACTTACAAAAAGAGACATCGTCAATTCAAAAAAGTTCCTTCTAAAATATATTACAAACAACAGACGTGAATTAAAAAATTATTTTGTTGTGTTATTTTTGTGAAAATTTTACTGGTAGGAATTTTCAATATAGTTGTTTAGAAATCCAAGTAATAGAAAAGTTTATGATAACGAATAACCCTTTCTAACTCGCAAAGATGTTGGATCATTTGAAGTTCAAGTTCAAGTTTTGAACTGAAGAAATACACGCAACCATATTTTCCAGCTGCACGCTCCGAAATATATAACAGTCGAATGAGGTAAGCACTCGTCAAGAAGCCAATCAAGCACACACTCCACACATACACACACACACACTACACACATACACACACACACGCAAAAAGTTACAGTATGAAAATGCAAATATTTACTTACACAACTGCTGCATCCTGTCAGTTGCAAAATATGTCATGCGTGTGTGTTTAGTGTAGGACAAGGTTGTTGCATGAAGCTATAAAATTCGTGTTGATGAAATTACTCAGCTTAAACTTCTTGGTCATAAAAAGCAGAAATAATCATGAAGTCCTAAGTTCAAACACATTGTCTCAACTTGTATAAAAATTTAGGTGGAAGCAAAAATACAAATTTCGCTTTTGAAAAAGTTTAAAATGAAAAAATTTATATATATAAAAATTTGTCAATCCGCAATCTTGTTATTTAACTTTTAAATCTTCTAATGCTAATATTTTCATGATATACCTATTCATCTTAAATTCTTTTTTATTTCCAAGCATTTGTTTTATTTTCCAATTATTTTTTAGTCTCTGACTTATTTGAATCTTCAAACGAATATCAAATACTTTTCAAAATATATTTCGTATTGCTTATCTTATTTTTTACTTTCCATTCACATCACCTTATACTCTCTAGTGGTACGTTCTTCATGACTTGCCCTTGTTGTAGTTGTGCTAATGTAACAGAACACCAAACCAGGAAGAGCAGTGCGTAGGAGTGAAAAGAAGAAAAGAAAACACGTGTCTCGTCCCTACTGGGGACTCATCAGCGGCCCGAATACCTATCAGAATCGTATTGCAGTTTCTCCTTATATAGCCCGCACAAATCACTTCGTTAGCTCGTAGTGTTTTCATTTATTATTGAGGATTGTTAGTTTTAATGGTTAGGATTTGCAATCTGACACCCTGCTTGTCTTGCCAGCTTCCACGTCTTTCAGGGTACGATTTTTGAAAAAAAAATGAATCGAACAAGAATTAGTAAATAAGTGACGATAGAGATAATGGTAGAAACAGCATTAAAAATTCTTTGGATTATCCTCACTAATTCCTCCACTCAAAAATGTCTGTTGAAAATTTTTCCAAAGAAGCGTCAATGCTCCCGTTTGAATTCAGTACGTGAAAAAGTTTTAAAAAATAACTTACATCAAGTGTACTTTGCATTGTTACTATTTATTTACACGTAGCTACACACTTATTTATTTAAAAAATTAACTGACTTACTGTGGAATCGCTGCGAAAAGAAATGTAGAGAAATGAAGTCTTATAATTTTTTGGCTGTTTCAGAAATGTTATTCGATTCCGTTACAAATTAATGTTTTATTTTATTTTATTGTTTATTGTTTTTTTTTCAATTTGTTTCATTTTGATCCATAAAAATAATTGCAAAATTTGGTTAAGATAATTTAGTTTGATTTCATTCGAATATAATTCCAATTCATAAACACGTTTTATTTAGTTCCATTGCAATTTGTTTCCTTTTCATTTGATTTATTTCGCTTCTGATAATCGTTTTTAAGTTAACCATATTTAGTGTTAGGCTTTTTGAGTTCATTGCATTTTAATATGAGAATAACTTAAATTTACGTTTGGGCGCATCAGTTATCACATGCAAGTGTCTCATCAGGAGGCTGCTGTTTTTTTCCTCTGCTCACTTATTATTGTATACTTTTGTATACCATTAAACACAAAAGCATTTTCACAAATGTGAAAAACATTGCATTATTTATAAACCTTCAGAAAATTACTTTTTCAAGTTTTCATAGACTGTGAGTGTGTGTGATTTGTGTGGGATTGTATGTTGTGAGTGTTTGCGTGTGTACGTGTAGATTGTAGGTGATTTTTTTGACTTTTATGATTTAAATGTTTAATCAAGTTTGTCTTAATTTAAATATACGCTTAATTTAGATAACTTGATGTATTGTTATTTGATGTTATTACTGTGTCAAGTGGTTCTCTAAAGTAAAAATGTCGTTTTGTTGCGTTGTGTTGATGACACCATCCAGAAGTGTTGCTGATGTTGCAAAATGATGTAACGACATTGAGGAGTAGTCCTATGACGAGACGTTAGCGATGTATGCGACAACGTTCCCGCGCTAATGATGATTCAACACTCCCTCTTCCTCCCTCCCTCCTTTCTCTCTCATTTAATTTTGTCTAATGAATGATTTTGTGATTAGAAAAGTTAATAGATAATTGATTCATTTTAATTTAATTGAATTTATTGAAAATTGAACTTCAGAACTGGATCGGAATAAAAAATTGTTGTTCTCTCAGCCAACGTGGACTTTCAATCCATTTTGAATCTCATCTGCTCTGCAGCAGGCTGTAAACATCGGTTGGCGCAATAAAGTTCTAAGATTTTTTCACAAAATTTTTCTTAAAATTTTTAAAATTTCAAAATTAACTCTTTATTATATATTTTAAATAAATTCTAATTACGATGAAAAACAACAAAAATTTAATTATTTATCATGTTAGTCCAATTGTGTCTAATAGTCTAATTAGTCATGTTAGTTCCAACTAAATCATCCACATTCCTCCACTGCTTTGCATTTGCTTATTCACATAACTGAAGATGTTTGTTTGCCTAAAACATTCAAAGACATATGTACTCAGCATGATGTCCACGAAGAATAAAGTAGCAGCCATCCTTGATGCAAGCAAATGTTTGAGGCACGATGTATTAGAATGCTCTTATTGTCATGATATATCCTTTTCATCATATCTTTCATTTAGGATTTTTATGAAGAGCGTCGTAAACATTTTTGTTTCTGTTGGAGCATAATATTTCAAGAAATGTCATCTCGTCTCTCAAAGGATTTTTTTTGAAGAAGCACTCTCTAAAAACTTTGAGTTCTCGACGTAAAACTTTAAAATTTAATTTTCGCGTTTGTTAATTTTTTTAAGCGGTGAAACTAGAACATATTTTGAAAACTTCAAAGAACAAATGATTTTTAGTAGTGTTGAAATATTCATTTGAGACAATTTCAAAATTTTTAACATGTTCCTCTGAAATGTGTCAAATTTATTATATCAGATTAATTACATACATTTGCGACAAAAATTATGGACTTACTTCAAATTTGCTGAGCGCATCAAATGTTCACAATAAATAATCACGAAACCATCAAACCAGTAAATAAGAATTATCAGTTAACGAAAACAAGATTACAACTGCGATTGTTTGCCAAAAATGATATCGCTTGATGTCAGCTCAGAATATTGAAAAGAGTGGTCGGTCGCATGCAATAGCCGTATCTAAGACCCGAAAACTTTGCCAGCTGTACATTTGAAACTCATTCAAAAAGGATAATATGAAGGACGAAATGACGGTTGCTAACATAACAAATGAAAACTTATCAACGAAGTTGTGGATGATGTCGATTTCTTGGAGTCGGACGGTATTACAAATTGTTGACAAAATTTATTCTATGCAAAACATTATTCTAATTTGTTATTTCACAAAATCTTATTTTCACAAATTAGCAGGTGGAATTCAATTATTAATGCAAAACTAAGCGTGTTCACAATTTAATATTTATACATCTACATACATACACATAATTGAGAATGACCCAACTACATATTTATTTGTTTAATTTTTTCACTTTTCTCAACAAAAAAATCTTTGAAATATTGTTAATTTTTAAATGTTCGTAATTGCTTTCTATTTGCATAAAGCCTACACATCCAAACGTTTGCAGGTTTTTTGTGTGCGTTCGTGCGTGTGTGTGAATTGCGTGTATAAGACTTGCGCGCGCGTGTGTGTGTGTGTGTGTTTGCATGTATCTGCACTGCAGTTGTTAGTCTTTGTAGGCCGTAATGTTATTCAAGTGTTTCTTTCAGAAAGTGTCGAGAAGTAATAGAGCTCTTCAATCTAGCATGTGCACGCGTGCATACAAAATTGGTGTCAGGTTTTTTTCATAATAAATATTTTTCCCGTTTTATCTTTTTTTGTTTTCTGCATTCATGATAGATGGCGACATCTTTTCAAGAGCGCGATAAATATTCTTTATATGAAAAAAGGATGTTGATCGCTCATTATTTTTTCAATAGAGTGAGTAAGTTGGGTTAAATAGAAACGAATGATATCATGAACGCTCAACAAGACGAACAATCTCAAAGTTCAATCAACACATGGTAAAAAAACAAATTGTTATCTGTTTTTGAGTGTTCCACAATTGATATGTTTACTTTGCAATAAAAAGATTCATCTCAATGTTGTAAACCAAAAATTATATACATCGTAAGCACAGAGCAATCTGCATAACAAACATACACTATCCATACAACAGCCAAATAGCAACCAAAACTTCAACCACGCCAACTCACCTCCGAGCACTGTGTGTTAGAGCACTCATTCAGTTTATCTGGCCCGCAAGGTTGCTGTTTCATTGAAGGTTCAACCGCACCATCGTTTACATATACACTTTCATATAAATAGCTCTACACTACATAATCTTTGTATTGTAATTATCACTTAATATATCAACAACGATGCCTGTACCCTACGTACAAGTACAATTCATAAACAGTCGAACGTGCATTGACCGAGGCAGTCGGTCGCAACAACAAAACCATAATTACTCAACATCTGAAGACGAGAAAAATTGGAATTAGAAAATTTTAAATTCGTTTGAATTCAAAAGCCTAAATTTTGTTTATTTATACTATGAAAAATTGTTATGTTCTTTGTAATTTGTTTTTTGTTGAAATTCAGTCTAAACACAACGTTGATAATCTTTGCAAAATTAACAACCCAGGGACGAGAAATGAAAGACTTGCGAAGTTCATCAGCCGGCGAACCATCAACGACTCCATCAGCTCACCATTCCAACACGTCGAAGCACCACAAGCGAGGAGATGCCAGCTCATCGTCCAGAAGAGCTCTCCTGCGTCCTCCTCACAAAAAATCTTCAAAAACTTTTAACGAAACTGACGAGAACGATGATGACAACAACGCTGAACCGCCAACGTCGTGCTGTCAAAATTGTCTGAAGAGGCTGCGAGGAGCAAATCCCGCCGGAGAAAGACCTCTCGTTACACAAGTTTCAAAAGTTGGAAAACAAACTTTTTCTACTTTTTAATTTATCGTCTTTCAATAAAAGTTGTAATTTCTTTTAGCCTCAGCAAAACTTCAAAGTCAGACAACCTGGTGGTTCTACTAATGTTTATACAAAAAGCTTTCCTCTTCGTTGCACTGCGTACAACTCATGTGATGCAGATAGATCCTCATCTGAAAAAGCAAATTTTCATCAAACAAAATCTTCCACAACAACCGCTCAATCAGTCCGAAGCAAAGAAGATTTGAATTACTTTCCAGTTACTACAGAAGTTTGTCAAGACGAAAATTCAAACAATCCATTGATAGTCATCAGCATAGAGACTGCGGATGATGATCCGTTGAATGTCGCCAAACAGCGAACATCAGTTCTTTCATGCGATCAAAATAGTTGTTCAACATTTCTAGAAACTTACGACTTACCGAATTCTTCCCAACAGGGTTCCATGAGCCAACTGACAAGCGCCTCTTTCACAGATGTTCCGCACTCTGCAACAGCCTCATACGACCAAACCTGCTTACAGTGAGAATTTCAAAATAAGAATAGAAACATTCTCATTTAATTCCAAATTAAAAGCACAAAACGAATACGTTGGATAGTGAATGGTTTGATTAAACAACACACACCGACGCTGAACATGAAACCAAATGGAAAAAAATTTATGTAGAATCAGTAAGCTGTCAAAAATATTCATCGAAAGTTAAACTTCTTTCAGTAAGTAAAACTTCTACAAATTATTTTTTACCGTTTTCAAAGTTATCTAAGAAATATTTTGAAGTAGGATTGCTGTTGAAAATATTATTCTGAATGATTTTGTTTCATTATCGTCCAAGTAACCTATCGTCCACATGAAAATAAAATTCTTGTAACTTTAGTTTGAGTCGCTTATCTCATTCAATGGATAATCGTGGCGTGTTAACGAATAACAATTCAATATACTGGAAACAACTAAAAACAGTTCACTTGTGTAGAACTGCCAAATCATGTATAATTTTATTTATTCTGCGTTGCGTTCATTCAGAATGTGAATATAAAAAGGTTCAACTATTTATCAGTATTGATCAACCATTTTATACGTAGAAAATATTTTTTTGTTTGGATTAATGATTTTTTGCTCATCAAGTAAGCAACTTGTATTGTAATAAACAACTAATTTCAACTTATTCATGTTGGTCCAATTACTTCTCACAAATTTAATTAATTTGAACAAATAATTTTAATTATATTTTTGAAATAACTTACTTGTGTAACATCTCACAAACTCTTGGATGAACGTACGGTTGATATAAATTTATATATAAATTGAAGAATATTCATAGTATAAATAGGCATTTATTTATTCTTCATTTAATTATGTTTCCATATATTCTGTTGCATCTGATCAACATTAACATAAAATTAATATAAAAGATTTTGCCTATCCATGCCCAAATATTCGTCTTCTTTTCGAATTGTTTGCTTCTGAAAGTTTGAAGGAATCACTGGCAAAATGAAATTAAACAAATTAAAACATCGGATGTTGAAACAATTTCAATTGCAATCAAAATATCTCAAATTTAATGTGTACTGTACATGTATCCAATTAGTCTTTCAAGTACTTTTAAAATTATCATCTATCGCAATACTGCAAGCTAAGTACATCATATGTTTTCCACATTTGAATTCTTGAATACAATAATTTTAAGGATGTGTCTAGAAAAATTACTAACTTTTAAATTTTGTCGAAAATATATTAAACGAGTGATTGTACAACGAAATGGGATAAAGATTTTTGAACACTTAAAAAGTTGAACCTGGAAACAACAACGTCGTCGATGGCCCACTGATCCCTACCTCGACCTTTGTGGGATGGCTGCCACCACCGAAACTGTGCCCCTGGTCTTCTGGCTCCTACCGGCACGTCGAATATCAACTTTTCAGCTGCTCTTCGACTTCTTATTTCAGCTACTGTTTGCCACGTAATTCCCTTATGTGAAAAAATATTTTCAACATCGTTTATGCCAATGTTGACGTCGTTTAAAAATAAATTTTCCTAAAAATTTTTAATAACTAGCACAAAAATAAAAACAAAAAGCTTTAGTGATAGATAAAGAGATAAGGTTTTTTTTAGATGCGTCAATTAAAACATCTACATGAGACAATTTCTATAAAATATTAAAAAAAATGTTTGGCTGCACATGTTTACAATTAAGACACAAAAGCTTTAAAACATGAATAATTCAAGACAAAAATTCAGTAGCTATCAACCTTATCAAGTGTGTATTGCAGTAAAATGTCAACTGAACATTTATCGTGTATGTCGAAGTTACAACTCCATGGCAGGTCAGTTCTACCGATCGCCACGATGAACGATATTCGGCTGCTTATTCGTATTATTTGAAATTATCCCAAATTTTTCACTGTTATTTTTTATTTAAATTAAATATTTTTAAAATATGCATCCAAATAAATTGGAATTAAGTCATTTTAAAAATGTTTGTTTATTCGAGAATGTCCAGCAAACCTGTTCCTGCCCAGGTCCAATTCGGCAGTAACGGCTTGTCTTAAGCAGCATCCATTGAAATACAAACTCCTGCCTGAACCCAACACGCCACAACCATCACCAATGCTTCCACCATCAATTTTGGACCACCCCAGATGTAGATCACTGAGGTTTGCATCAAAATTAGTGGAAAAACTTTGCAACAACTCTTTTGTTACTTTTCCACAGTGGGTTCCTGTTTCATTGAAAACAGTTTCAAATATGAAATTCTAGCATTTTGTACAAAAACTCAACACAATAAATTTGATTGATAAAATTTAGAATATCGAAGACAAAGCAGAAAGAAGTCAAAAAATATTTTTCGTAATAAAAGTTAAAAGTGAACACCAACCACTATATCCTTCGTCACAAAGACACTCGCCCCTCCTACACACCCCCCTTCCATGGCACAGATGCTCGCACCCCTCCGACACGTACACCTCATCCAGTGCCCACAACAAACCATCTGGCCAAAAGAATTATTTTCGAGAGAAATTAAATAATTTTTAATATAATTTGCTGCATATTCTGTAAAACATCAATCATTCTCGAAAACTTTATAGTCACATTGACCATTTAGTTGACCTCGGATAGAATGTAGAAAGGTAGGTACATAGTTTTCTAGTTACCTTTCGTAGCGTCATAAACTTTGCTGTCAACCCGAGCATACCTTGGAGTTCGCTTATGAAAGTTCGAGAAGTTGTTTACTTTGGAGATGAGTTCTTTAAATTGTTTTAGTGAGCCGATAGAACAGTCCTGTTTTCTGTTGGCGTCAAAAACTTTACTAACACTTCCTTCATAAGGTTCATCATCGTTAGTAACATTTTCAATGTTGCTGGTTGGCTTGTTAGCGTTCTTCGTGATTTTGTCTGAATATTCGTTTTTGCTCGTTGCATCACTTACATTCCTCCATACCCTCCATCTGAATCTTGTGTTTCTGGAAAATTTCAATAGTTTTCATTTTTCAGTAACCAAATGATATGAAAATAATTAAAAAAGCAAAAATGTTGTTCTTCACAAATAATTAACCCCGAAAACGTTGGTCTGGGCAACCTAATGTACACTCTGGTCCAGGTCTTAAAGTCGCACTCACTGTACAGCGATGACGGAATGAAATTTGATGACGTTTTGGAACATTTTGTTTGCATGTTGTTAGTGGTTGGAGCATCTTCAGCTGGCTCGCTGAAATCATCGCTATCAAGATTCTTTACATGACCATTAGTATTATTGTCGTTTCCAGTTTTTAGTTTGCTACTTGGAAGTATGTTTTTTTGCTTTGATTTGATAATATTATGGTTGGCTTTACTGTTAATATGAATTGAGTTGTCGCTGATGTGGTATTTGTTGTTGATGTTGTTGTTGTTGATGTTATTGTTGTTGATGTTATTGTTGTTGATGTTGTTGTTGTGATCGCAACCCCCGTTCACAAGTTGCCAGTCATCTTTTTCAGGATCGATGTTGTATTCCAGTGCGATTGTTAAGCCACTTGCTTTGAAACACTCAACACATCTTGCACAGCGTAACATTATCTGTTGGAAAATAACATTACGACTAAAATTAACCTGTCAACGTATTTTCAAGGGTGAAAATAAAAAAGTAAATTTACTTGTACTAATAATAATTCAGTTATAATCGCCGAAGAGGTACGAAGCATTAATTATCATGCACCACAGTTAGCAGCAAGCCCGTTGCCACTAAACTTTGTAAATTTTTTGAAAAATAATTTCAACACAACTTGCGTTTGTTAAAAGCAAAAAAATGGTTTTCAGTCGTAATAACAAAATAAATTTCAGTAGGTTTGCTCATAAGTTAAAGTTTGCACAAACAATAACTGCACGAAAGCAGTTTTTAACTTATAATATTGTCATAATTAATGATGCAGCGAGCGAGTCCAGCAAACGTTTTAAACAGTAAAAAATAATTAATTTTTAAACAATTTTTGGAATAAATAATTTTCACCTTGAACTGCAAAATATGTCCATCTTGGATGACAAGAGGCCTCGTCACTATTGAGGATCCATGAATTTGCCTTGAACCAAGGTTGATACCACCTCCTCCAGCACACATCTTCATCAATTTTTTGTTGTGCTCTTGAGAATTGTTGTCTTCACTGTCAATCTTCTTCCAGGCCATAGAATAACCACGTGACCCACAAATGTTCATTAACCTCTGACCTCTGCCTAAGAAGTCCCAGTTGTCTAACAAATATAATAAATAGAAACGCAAAGTTAAATTCCTGTGTTTCAATGTTTTGTAACATTATTTTACGAAAAAAACTATTCGAAATTAATTAAAAATTAAAGAATCACCTGTTTCCCATTTGGTTGGTTGCTCGTCATGATGGTGGTCATCGCCCCCGAATGTTTCTTCCAAATAACTCGGATTAGCCACCGTCCTTCTTATCAAAACATTATCGAGTCCCCAGTTGAAAATGCGAGAGGTGGATGGATGTTGCCACCAACGAAACATTACTGTACATGTTTTATTTATGCTACGATACATTTTATATATCTTAAATGTCGTTTCTTGTAGAAAATATCAAAAACTTAATTTAATTCATCACACGATTTTCTTTGGCTAAGTTTCAAAAAATAAAACAATTAAATTCAGTAAATACTGAACATTTATTGTTAGCCATAATAAAAATGAAAAAAATTCAATTGGATTTTGAGATTAATTTAAAAAACGTTCAATTAACGGGTCTAATTTTATCTCGTAAAGCCAAAATTTTATATAACATTTCCACGTTTAGTCGTGCAAATTGGTAAATTAAAAAAATTTCAAAATAAATTATTTAACCTGGAAAATAATTTCTGCTGGTCGGTAATGTGGAAGCTTTTAGAAGGGGTAACTGAACGTAGTGGTACTGGTGGTAGTGCGATAATGAAGGTGAAACTTTCAGAGGACTGATGGATTTGATCAATTTCCAACTGACGCCTATTCATTTACGAGGTTTGTTTCATCAAAATATGATTGATTTAAAATTTGTCAAAACCATTAATTCATCTCATAACCTACGCAAACGCAACTACAACGATATGATAAATCAACACATAGTCATCACGTCAAGAAAAAACAAAAATTTCATTACATTAACATTAGCTTGATTATAACAAATTAAATTAATATATATTAAATATTTCAATTAACAAATTAATTGGTTAATGAAAAATTATAAACTTAATTTGCATTTTTAAAAATGAATAAACTCCGATAAACTCTGGCGGGTAAAATATTATCATAAATTAAATGTTTTTAATCTGTTTGCTAAAATTCGTTTCGAATGAAGTTAATTAAAATAGAACAAAATAAACCTCCGTCAGTTGAGTAATCCAGAATGATGTTGGCTCGAATGATGTTTGTTAGTGGTTGGCAGTTCTCGTTCATACCTTTTTCAAATCCCAACTTCTTGGATTTCTCTTCTAATGACCACCCTCCGTGTTTCTCCCTTGCTGAAAAACCATGTTCACCATCATATTCTGCATCGTTAAGCTTCTCAAAACGATTTTTGTTAGCTAACAGATGAAATGTTATATACCTGGAAATCAATGTGTAAAAAAAATATATAAACCATAAACCTGTTTATCCATCGAGCCAAAGAATTATTTAATGGATAAATTATAAGTAACATCCCCGATGAGTGAGATGATGTGAAAAAAAATGTCACAACAATGCAACAAAAATCTTCCATTGAAAACATTACATCAGCTTAAGTCGTGTATGGATTAATACAATTCAAGAATCATAGAAGAGATTTTGTCAAGTATCAATTTATTTCATTTTCAATTTTGATGTGTTTGTTCTACAGTAAAATAACTCGCCTAAACATCATTTAAAAAATTTTCAATAAAAACCAAAACTAATGTAACAAAACCACCCCTACCCGATTGTTCGACCATCAAAAGTTCTCGTGACCGCTTGCCTCAGACCGGCTGATGAGAAATCAAGAAATCTGTTGGCATGAGCATTGTGAAGTAGTTTGAGGCACGAGGGTTTATTAGTGGAGCCTTGAATGAGTGACCAGTGTTTGAGATGTTCTGTTGAGTTGAGTGCACTGTCTGCGTCATCTACATCAGCGACGTAGCCATTTTGTGGAAGGAATATCTCAAAATCATCTTTTAAATCTTTCTTCAGCTGTTTTATTATTGTGTTAGTTGTATATTTAAAAAAAAGATATTTGCATGTTTTTAGTAACATTTAATTATTTTGAAAATGTGTTATAATAGAACTAGAAAAACTTTAAAATCTCATAAATTATATTTTTGGACAACATTTATATTGTATTTGATATAAACAACAACATGGTAGTGACGTGACATTAAATGACTATGTGACGTATCTTGAATGCTAACCCTACTCCTGGTCTGGCGATGCTGACAGTGGTCACCATGGTGGCCGGGGTAGCATCTGCAGAATGTCCTGTTGAGGCAGACACCCTGACCACTGCAGTAATTGACGCAAGATGGACCTGCGTGTTATAATAATTCATTCAAATTATTTTTCTTATTGATACGTGTATCAATAAAAAATATAATTTTTCACAATGCTTATACATTCATATTTTGTAAAATATTCCGTTACTTTAATTACACCATCACGTATCGCTCGACATCCACACGCTTCTTCCATATGTAACGAATAACGGTAACTGTCATTTTTAAAACTAATTTTCAAATTAAAAGTTATAAAAAGCAATTTTAAATTTCAAAAACAAGTTACTAGCAAATTTATAAAACTACTCAAGCAAACTTTAAAATTAGCAATCAAGAATGCACACCTATGTAAATGTCGCTTACGGCCCACTTCATGTTCAAGTTGTAATTGGACAGGGAAACTTGCTTCCAACGAAATCTTGTGAAACTAATGTTATTTATAAATTAAGGACAATTTTTAGAAACTTTGATTTTTAAATAATTCAACGAAAGAATGAGTAGAGAACATTTACTTAGTGAGAAGTTTGTTTTCCAATGGTATTGCAACACTGATCCAACTGCTGCTTGGATAATATGATGAAGGCTGTTCCGCTTTAGAACATTCCAGTTCATTTTGTCTGCAGGTCTCCTTTACAAGATTCCACGTTTTTCCTATTTAATAAATTTAATTCTGTTGTAAACAAATTTGTAAATTTTTTATGTATCTTGTGTTAGGACTCTCGAAATGAAATTTTATTTTTGATTTGAAGTAATAATTGAATCAACACATAATATCAAAAAAATAATTCCAAAGTTTTTACAACAATTTTAGTAAAATGATCTTCAACAAAACGCACCGTAGTCGGTAGAATATTCCAGGCGAACAGCAAAAACATCCTCAGGCAGCTCATCCCCATCAACGTCATCATCATTTTCATTGTTGTGGCAGCCAACGGCAATCCTCATTTGAAGCACGTAGTCGTCAACAGTGGCCATGTTCAAATCCACACTCATAACGTACGATTCATCCTATCCATATTGTTAAGAAGAATAAATTAGAGTAATGTTGAAATCACGGTTAGAAGGTATTTTTATATTCTAATTACAACCAAACTGTTTATTAATTTTGATCCAGACAGCTTTTAAGGTAAGTTTAAGTTTGATTTTACTTATATTCGCAGCTTCGAAAGGTTTTGAAAATCATTATCCCAAAACGTATTATTTAGAAAAACATTTCTAAAGGATGTTTTCAGATATATTCAACGAACACAACATTATTATTCTAATACAAAAATTGAATAAACTGTAAATATAAAATACGAACCTCGAAGCTAAGTGTGCTAACAAAAGAATTAGTTAGCCCACAAAATTGCCCAAACTTCATGGACGCCATGTTTGAAACCCACTGTGGAATGTTTCCACGTTGGTCTTCATCCTCCTTCTCTTCCTCATCTTCACTTACTATTTTTCTTTCTTCCCGATCATAGTTCCAGAGATTGTGGTGGTCGGACATGACGTCATTGTACAAATCAAACGTCGGTTCAACAGCACTCAGTAGTACAATATCATCAAGCACCCAAGTAGGACGCCAGTAATCATCATCATCACCACTACTGCCATCATCATCATCATCATCATCATTATTTGCGTGAACATCATTATCATCATTTGTACTTCCATAACTCCTTGTTTCCGTCATCTCCTGCCACCAGGTGAATTGCACTCCGACCTTCTTGCAATCGTCTGGAAGTTGGATGGATATCAATCTGTTGATGGTTGGAAATTAAATAATTCATCTTTGAACGCCGTTTCAATCATCGTTGACATCATTTTTTTGTTTTTTACTACATAGTTCGTTATTATATAAAGATGTGGAATAATTTAAGTATTTGAATACAAACTTCTCATGTGGATGGAGTGACTTCTGCAAGGTCAGCAGATGATTCCACGTGGAAGCTCCATTCAATGAATATTCAACATGGACAGGTCGTGCTTGTTGATGCGATTGATGTCTTCCATGCTGCCGATGGTCTCGCAAATGTTTTGGTCGTTGTTTCTTATCCAGAGGATCAAATCCATTGTTACGATTGTTCAATTTTTTCTGGAAACATCCGAATGCAAAATGAAACTGCAGTACGCTGGCAGACGTCAAGTTCAAGTCTACCGTCCTCACACTTCTCGTGCAGTTCTGAAAAAAAATCCATCGAATACTACTGTCTGACGCTAAATCTAAATATATATAAACAATTTTTATCAATTTTCATCATTCGATCTTGAAAGATGTTAGCAGCTACAACAACAGCTGCCACAACAGCAACAACAACAGCTACAACAACAGCTACAACAACAGCTGCAACAACGGCTGCAACAACAACTGCAACAACAGTTGCAACAACAGCACTACCCCGTTCATGTGAAGCACATGAAAAGATTTTGTGGTGGAGCATTTGGTTCTGATGACTCCTCCTACAAATGTGACAGTGTTTCCATCTGAATGTTCATCTCGAGTTGTTGAATTTGACGTTGTGCTGTTTGTATCACTTTTTGAGTGGAGATGCTTTACATTGTATTGAAATGGATGGTAGTTGTTGAATTTTTCTACAAATTTGCTTTTAAGCTGTCTGGTGGGTAAGTTGCACGACGAACCAGACCAGCCTTCGTCACATCTTTGAGAAATTTTTTTGTTTTCAAGTTTTAAACTAGATAGAATTAATCTTCAATTAATAATTAAAAATTACATAAAATTAGTTTGATGTTAAACTGGTTGAATTATGAAAATTATACAAAATGAAGTATGATAATTTTTTTCGTGTTAATAAAAATTAATCAGCAACGAAACCAGCAATGAACCGACCGACACGAGGCATTCCAGCAAAAACCATGCCCAGCACAGAAACTTTCACATTCGTCACCGATGTACACATGCGACAGTGCCCAAGCACCTGAATCTTTCAAAAAATCAGTCTCCTTGCCAACTCTATTTGTTTGAACCCACCTGAATCTTGCGTTTGCAAATCTGAAATCAGGTGTATAAAATTTTTGCAGTCCCGTTTTTTTGGTATTTCTAGGCTTATTTCAAAATTTTCCTTTAATGACATGGCCGATAATGTTTAATAATTGTAAATATCAAATGATAACAACATTAGAACCTCATACTATCAGGCAAAATGAGTGATATTCTCTTCCATGTGGACATGAATTCAGAGTAAAATATTGTTGGTTGAACTTCATTGGAACACGTCAGGACATCTGCTTCACTGCATGGCTCCTTCACCAATCTCCACGTCTTACCAAAGTCCGTTGAATATTCAAGTCTCACGGCTTCGTGAAAGTATTATTATAACCACGATTATGGTAATTTAGTAAGTGAATCGCATTACAGATTTCAATGCAGTTTAAAGCTGTCAAATTCCAATTTAATTTCAACAGTTTTTGATGGCTTTAACAAACCTTTCAACTTTAAAAAAAATAACTGCCCTGAAATCTCACCGAAACAGTCATTTTCTCCCAAACAGTCCATCGTCATGTTGAAGTGGATGAACGTCGAGGCAGTTATCATCATATCATTCGTCACCGCTCCAGATATGACACCCCCAATTTCTACATCGTAAATGTTTTCTGCTGTGGAAGTTGTATAGAGGTCCTACCAACATCACCAACAATACATTACCAACATATGTTTTATTTACAACTTTAAAATATTATTTATGACATGACAAATCCTGCTTGATTAGTTTTAAGAATTTTCAATAACAGAATGATAACAATGACATTACAAATTTTATCTGGACCATATTTTGGCATAAAAATGATTGCTATGTAAACAATGAAACCTGAATGAAAAACGAGCACCAATCTACCAGATGTGCAATATTTTTTCCTGCTTGCACCCATCATCATCACCCACAAACCATCGTCGTCGTCGTCGTCGTCGTCGTCATCCTTCGCCTCAGCATCTGCCTTTCCATCGCTGTTTGAAAATTTTTCTGCATTTGAGTATTCGGAATTGACTGATGTCGCAGTACGATATTCATCATCAACATGACTTGGGAAGTCATAATTCAGCTGAAAATAATCTTCGTTTAAATGTTTTGGACCAATTGGAGCGTTCCATTGTTTGATAACATCTTGGCCACTGATCCTGTGAAGAGGAGCAGCGATGAATGCATCATCTTGCATGACTATGTTGTCTACGTCATTGCCTCCTATGTATATCTGATAGTTATTTCAAGTAGTGTCTTAAGTCTCGTGTTTCTATTGAGGTTTCAGGCTCACAAAACATAATGCAGCATTCATTTGAACTTCGAAAGCAATTCTTGCAATAACTAGATTAAAATTAAATGACATCTTTGCAATGTGTGCGATGCTTGGTTTCTCTACGATTTTACTTGTGTGTGTGTGCGTGGTGTGTGTGTGCGTGTGTCACTGATAAATCTAAATCTGCAGCAAGTTTCGTTAGGAAAACTGATCTTTAACGTCTTTAATATTTATTTAAATTTTGTTATACAACTAGATACATTTTGTTTTAGGATTTATATAATCCAAATATATTGTTTACTGGATCATTCATATACTTTACTGTTTAAAATTCAGTTGAATAGCCCAAGCTCACCTGATCAATTGACCAATCAGGAAGTTTTCTTTTTTGGATTGACGGTTGCCACCAGCGAATCAGAGTTGAGAAAGATTTTGCGGTGTGAGGGACAGTGACGATTGCATGGATGATGGGTGGGGAGGAGCTAACCGGATCAAATCTTTCTATCAGGTTCCATTCCAAGCCGTTGTTCAGCGAATATTGCAAATAAATTGCTTCGTAAACTTTGTTTGAATTTAAGTTCTTGATGTTGATTGTTGATTTGATGTTGTTTGTTGATTGGCAGTCAAATTTTAAATAAAAGGAAATCACACTGTATGAAAAGAATGATTGGACAAAATTGTTTTGAAGAAATATAAAAATTAAACTGCTATCACACAACGAATAAAAAAACTTAACATTATGTAATATTACGATCAATTTGGAATAAATGCAAATTTCGAAGTTTATGAATTGGACAACTCAATTGAACAGAAGTTATAATAATGTTGTAACGGACTTTGCATGGGTGAGATTCAGTGGATTGGTGGTCAGAATCCTTTCCGTGGGTTGATGGAAATTCAGTGAGGTGCCATGAAGTACCCTACTACATTTGTCTGACACCGAAGCACCACTAATCACTGAAAATTTCTTTCTGAAATTTCTTTTCGAATCTTTTAGTTTAACAGTTAAAAAGTAAAGATTAAATACTCAATATGATTTTGAGCTTCTCTAATTAAATTCTACTTTATTATTTTGCTTCAATTATTTATAATGAATTCCAAATTTAAACAAATTCATCGATATTTAATGAACATTATCAAATGTTATAAAAAATTGTTCAGTTAATGTCTGTAGTACGTTCAATAAAATTTTCATGTTGATTTTTTCATTTTTTTTTATTTTGGTTTCAACAGTTAAGAAGATAAAGAGGAAACATGTAAAATGGCTGAAAGGAAGGAACAATAAAATTTCAATGAATAATGTGAAACTGGAAAATTTAAATATATTTTAACCTCAAAAAAAGAAATAGACGAGAAGTTAATGAAACAAACTCACTGTCAAAATCCTCTCTTAAATAATTTTTGTGTTTCAACTTGCTGGTAGGATTCTCGCATGAAGTACCTTCATACCCGTGGAAGCAGTCACAAACGGAGGCCTCGTAGCAAGTGCCTCTGCCCTGGCAATGAGCCACACACTGGGTTCCTATGTAGATGTTATCAATCGCCCACGATCTTGCAGACGATGATGACGATGACAAAACCGGTGAAGTTACATTCATAGGAGTTTTATTATTAGAGATTCTGATATTTTTATAATTTGGAAATGGCTTGTGTTGAGAGTTGACTATGTTCTTCTTTTTCCTCATGCCGTCAGGTTCGTAAATGTAACGTTTCTCCCTAACAGTTTTATGACGGTTTGTAATTACGAAATCGTCATCTATGTATTCGTAGCTGGCAACATCTATGTTTGATTTAATGGCATCTTCGTTTATAATGTTATCTTCTTGGGTGGGTTCACTATCTGAATTTTTTTGTGAAGTATCCTGAGACCATCTGAATCTGACAAAGCTTTAATAAAAATTGAACCATACGTAAGTAATTAAATAAATAGCTTGATTGTAGTTGCAGCTGAAAAATTATTAACAACAAAATTGTTCTGTAAAATTTAATTATACAAAATTTAAATTGGTTAAGTTAAGTGGAAGGTCTCACCCGTAAATTTTTAAGTTTTTCAGCGGGATAACAACCTGAGTCCAGTATGAATACACGGCAGAGGAGTAGATGGATGGATGGATCATGTAATCGCGTTCACACAACGGCTGATGGTTTGATGAACATTCGGCGATCAGAAGGTTCCATGTCCTGCCTCTGTCTAACGAGTATTCAAGCCGCACAGGTTGATCTGCTGGCCACGAAATTGGATCGCCATCACAACCCACGTTTATCTATCCAGAAAATAATTAAAATTAAAAATATATAAGAAAAAACATAAACAGCAAATAAATGTTGACTTACTTCAAACTGAATAACCGTCATGTCATTAACGAAGATGTCATTGGTCATCAGGTACCTACTACCCATCAGCTCTGAAGTTTGTGAAAATTCAGCAGTTTTTGACGGAATTTTACTTCGACGCTCCAAACTTGATTTAGAAAACTTTTCTTGAAAGACTAATGCCGACGAGCCAGACGTTGACAGACCTGGACTGTTGGAACATCAGTTTACAAAACAAATCGATCAGTTTTACAACGTCACGTTTTGTATAACAAATCGTTCCATATAACCAATTCAATTTATACCAACACCGGTTTAATGAATAAATTCATATGATGTTTGTACGTTGAACACTTAATAATGATGAAATTTGAACAAAAAGAAAGAACGACTCACTTCATTTTATGAGAACAGTACTTTGCAATTCTTCCTGACGGCCAAAATAGAAAAAGATCATCACTAGGACTGTCAAACTCTTCTGCATCATCATCAAAACTTGATTTATTTTCGAACATTTCATGGAAAACTTTCTCCGGCAGAAAGCCATCAGAGGAGTGGAGTGGGAGGGAGGGAAGGGAGGGGAGGGTGCTTTGAGTTGGTCCTCCGATGAAAAGGTCGTCGATCATCCACGCTCCTCTCATCCAGCCTGTAGGTACACATTTCAACAATTGATTTTATAAATGCAAGCGAATTGCAACGATCCCTTAACAAACACAACTTTCAATGATCCGTTTATGCTAAGAATTTTTTTCCCAGAAAATGAATGTAGACTAAATGGTTGATATATTTTAACAAAATTCTGTTTATATTATTTGAACAATTCAGCATTGTTTCAAAGACTTAAGGATAGTTACATTTTGCAATTGCTTTACCTGAACTAGCTGCATTGATCGATTGCCAAAATCGAATGGATGTTGAGCTGAATCTTGCCTCCAAAGGCAACGACAGACTGAAAAATCTTGTAAGAGACCTGTCAAAGTTGAAATCTTGATTGATTTTGTTCTGAATATAATTAATTAAATGTAAAGATAGAAAGGATAATAATAGTGTATAAACTCTTGAAACGACGCGTCGTTATATTTGATGAGATGCAGATGGTTCCAGTGTATGCCACCATTTGTTGAGAACTGAACAATTATCTGATGTTCTTCTGGACGGGGATCAGCGAAGGAATAAGAATATGATTGCTGAGGCAGACGGTGACAATCGAACATCAAAGAAAACTCCACGTGCGTTGCCGTTGAAAGATCGAGATCATACGTCATGAGAAGTCGAATGGAATCCTGGGGAAAGTTTTTTTAAATATTTAAAATCTGTTCGTTAGATTGCATAAACTTTACAGTTGTAAAATTGGATTAAACTTGCTTTGAAAAACACAAGAGCCTTATCGTGAACGACGACGCCGCAAACATCGGTCACCTCTCCTCCAAGTACCAACGTGTAGGAACTGTCCACTTTGTTGGGAAGGGTTAAGTTTTCACGCAAATGCATGTTGATATACTTGCCCGAGTTGATGTTGTTTCGCTGGAAACTATCCCGCAACCTTGTGGGCAGTTGCCTGACCACTGTGCAGTACGGCTCCTCATAGCCTGCGTCGCATCTGCAGTCTCACGGCATTTTAGTTTTTATAGTGATTTGTTTGAGCGTAACAAATTATAAGAGCAAGTATAACAAAATAATAGTTTGCAAATTTTCAATAAGAAAAAATTAATTTGAAACAAACTGCTGAACAATTAAAATCAAACCAATGATATTTTTGTTACAAATTCCGATCAAAATGATTTAAAACTCAAAAACTAACATGCACTTGTCTCCATCACATGTTCCATGCCCTGAGCACATCCAGTGACAATCGTCTCCAACGTAGATCTTGTCCAGTGCCCAGATGTTGCCACGTGTCGCTACGTAGCTCTGCCTCCAACGAAATCGAGTGGATGGAGATCTGTTGTTGCAATGTGGATGTCTTCTTTTATTCAAACTTTTATTCAACTGTGTTAACTTGGATTGTTCATTTTCAAACATTTGATCAGTTTTGTTAGTTGTTTAAAAGTTTTAAAAGAAGAAAACTAATTTTTTATAAATTCTTCAGCACAAATTAATGCAATGTTTATTCTGTTTGTTACACGCAAATTTACTATTAGTTTTAAAATCACTTCACTTTTTTGATTATGAATAATGTATTCAATAGTCTAACACGGCTTGTGTTGGCACGGGGATCGTAACTCTCTTCCAGTTTTTGTACATGGCTGAGTTGAAAGTTCCATCTAACTATGATTGTTGTTGTTTCAATAAAATCAGTTACAGATTTTAAAATTTCAAATGGTTAATTTGTATTTTTGATTGATTTTGAACAAACGTAAAATAAACCAACGGGCGCAATCCATTTTCTCAGTTCAGTGCACAGTACCAACCTGCTGAGCGGTGCAATGGTAGACATCGGTGGCATAACATGAGGGTACCACAGGGTACCATGTCCTGCCTTGGTCCACTGAAAAATCGAGAGAGATGTTAAAAATTGTCGAGTGGAAATCTCCGCATAACATGACTAATTCAAATTGAATAAACGTCATCTTGGATACAGGGAAGTCCCACGTTTCAATGTACCTTCTTTCGCCTTTTTGAGAATTTTTTAGCGTATTTACAACTAAAACATTTCATATTTAGTAAACAACTTCAATGAGTGCTTAAGCATTCATTTCAACTTACTGTTTTTACTAAAAACAAGAACATCGTGCCCAGATTTGCAATAAATTCCAATAAATCCACCAATCAGATTAGACCAGATTTCATAATTTATACCGCCTTTAAAGTCATTTAGGAAACCAAAATGTTGTTTATGATGCAGCTGAGTTTTACGACTACTATTGAAATTGTTCCCATTCAAATAAGTATTGAAATTAGCATCGTCTGCAAAGGCACGTTTGTGTGTGGCCTCATCTCCTTGGTAGCTTTCCTCATTGCCACCATCTTCCTCCATCAAGTCAGTGATGACGACATCATCAATAAGGACAACGTCATCAATGCTCCAGCCTGCCCTCTCCAGATTTCCGGCTAAAAATATTTATCTAAAATTATCAAGTTTTTGAAAATATCTAAAAATTAGTTTTTAAAATAAATTAAGCACAAGTATTATAAACGTAAATTTTTAAATGAAAAAATAATTCTCATTTGAGACGTGGATCTCCAAGGAGTTGCCACCATCGGAAAACTGTTCGATTTGATTTTGAATTTCTAGCTAAGTTGAAAGAAAGAGTTTGTGGTCTGTTTGCAAGAGCGTGTGGATCAAGTTGTTTCATTGTTGTCCACGTAATTCCGTTGTTCGTCGAGTAGTCAAATATGACGCGATCATCGTAACTGCGGGGCGGCTTGCAATCTTTAACATTTAACGTTAGGCCTATTTGTATCAGAAACTGTATTGACCTGAACTCAAGAAAATTGGCAAAATGAGTAATGAATTAGATTTTATTTAAAATGCTCACGTCTTTAATTTGAATCTCGTAACAAAGAATAAAAGACTGGTTTTTACTATTTACTGTTAATTATAAAACAACACTTAACTTATCAGACAAAATTTTTTAAATTACTTTTTATGAGTAACATCTAATGGGAAAGTTCTGGCCATTCTTGTGCCATAGTTGTTAAAATTTAATGCTTCACTCCTCAATCCCGAATCTCCAGTAGCTGCGTAACAGGCTGCCAACCCAACTGATGCACCAAGCACTTCAGACCAATATTTCGAAAGCTTGCTCTTGCTGGTCCCTTGGTTGTCTACTTTGGAGTTGATTTTATGTCTCGCATATGTGAAAGTTTTGTTGTTGGTGGGTGAGGTTGTAGCGTCAAACTTGTCGATCCACCGTACGTCCGTCAAACGAAAATGCTCACAAAACTTTCCTAGAATAATAAAAAAATAAGAATTAATTAGTTTTAAAAAGCATTTCAAGAATAACTCAGAGTCAGACGTATCATGAATCAACCTATTTCAATTTGGCATTTACTTTTACTATTTTACAAATTAACCGGCTAAGCATATGACCGACACGCTTTTCCAACTGATAAGCAAATCCGTCAAATAAAATTAAATATTGATTGATGTGAATATCAGCTGAATCAAATTATTAACGTTCATTTTTCCATTTATATAAAAACATTTTGTTTGTTGACATATCTCGTATTTTGAGCCATTTTAATCTATTCTGATTTATTGCTTTTTCCAAGAGGTTGGAAACGATAATATAAGACTTGTAATAAACGGCGTTTCAATGCTAACTATTCATATTATTATTGTTGATTTATAAAGTTGTTAATAATTGTATGCCATTGTTCCAACCTTTGAAATCTTTGAAACAAAGACATCCATCGACCGAGCACAATCCTTGGCCAAAACAGTGTTTGTAGCAAGCGGGCCCAACATACACGTCAGATAGCGCAAACGTGAAAGGGTAATTGTTATTATTGTTGTTATTATTGTAATTGTTGGTGTCATTGCTTTTAATTCTGTCGGCTGAATAGGAATTTTTGTCTAATTTAATGATTCTGCTGTTGTTACTTTGAAGCCATCTGAAGTTGAAGGTCCTGCGACGGGTAACAAAACATAAAAATTAACAAAATAAAATTAGGAACACATTAAAAAACTAGGAACCTTATTGAAGTGGACATTAAATGATCGAGTGGGACAACCTCGGTGACCCAACCTACTCGGCCACCTTCGTAGTACACGCTCGCATCCATCAGTTCAGACTTTGTACAAGCCGCATCATCATAACCTGGCGCTTGGTAGCATGGAGGTTTGACCAGATGCCAAGTCATTCCACGATTGATGGAATATTCCAGGTAGACAGGATGGTTTGGATTGAATGACTGACTGCAGCCAACGTTTATCTGGCTCCATCATAACGGTTAATGAAATGTTTATAAAGTGAATTATTGAAGGACAGACATGATTTTCAATGACCGTGCAAGTAATTGTCCAAATAAAAACCTCATGCAAAATACTTTCATTATTACGCATTATTAGCGTGTATCAATTTTAACATTAACCACCTTGAATTGCAGAACATCTCCGGGCTGGACAATCAGTTCGGTGGTCATGGCAATTTTTTCGGAGAAGTCCAAGTTGAACATGATGACAGGATGCGCGGAGGAGCAATAGTAACCGATCATCGAGTCAGTCAACGTCATCCAACCATCGCCGTCTATTGAACTGAACTCTTTCAGTGATAGCTTTTAAATGTATATAAATATTATATGTATATATATATATACATATATTATAATTTATTATTCATAAAGATAAATTTGTTAAATGTTATAGATCAAGTTTACAAACCATGTAGTTTTTCAAATGTACGTATAAAAAAACAACAAAATAAATAATCTACCCCGTTAGCATTAGCTGTTACTTTCGTGCTTCTCTTAGTTTTGGATGTTTCATAAGAGTCGATAATTAAATCATCAATCGCCCACTGTTCATCAATTTCATACATCAAATCGTGGTTTTCATCGGAAACATCGCCGTAATTCCATCCACCTGTCTCATTTTCGTCGTACTCATCATAATAGACATCATCATATGAGTTTTCTTTCTCGTTAATTCTTGTCTCATAGTCGTCATCATCATCATCATCCATGATGTAGTCGTAATATTTCACGGGTTGCCAAAATCTGAACTGCACAGGACCAGTTTGGGCTTCAGGTGGAAGTGCGATGTGGACAAATCTTTGAGTGAAGAATTTTTTTAACTCTACAAAAATATAAAATTTCGCATTTCGCAGTTATCGACATTGCCGTTATATCGTGTATAAAAATTCAAATTTTAAAACTTAATGACTCGAAAATATTTTTTATTCTAAATTAAGCTGCTGTGTGAAACGTTCAATAACACTTGAGCATGAATCAAGTTGAAAAGTTAAGCAGTGTTCTACAATTTTTAGATGATAAAACTTCGTTTTTTTCCTAAAGTTTGGTGAGCATATTATTATTTTTTAAACATAATTTAGATAATTTTGCATCTTTCTATAAAACTCATATCTTCACAAAATTTCAAATGTGAAACTTAAATTCAATTTTACCTAGCTGCTCTAAAATGGTCTACCCAGAACTCTTTCAACAAATCCCATGTAGCTCCGCCATTTCTTGTGTAGGAAAGCAACAAATTTTTGTTGTCACCTCTCTTCTGCAGATCACGTTCGTAACATTTAGCATTATTTTCAGTATTTAGTCGTGGTTTAAATTTTTGCGATAAACAATTTGAATTGTTTGATCCACCGATTTTTAAGTAGAACTGAATGAAGTCCACACTTGGACCACACAAATCTCTAGTCGTCGCTCTTCTTAGCAAACTCTGACGGAATAATAAGTATTAATATAACTAGCAGTGCGTTAATTTATTACAAAATGTACGTTATGAAATTACGATTTTTAAAACGTTTAAAAAACAAAAATCAACCAACTCCATAGAAGTACAAAGACTCTCCAGCCAAAACAACACCACATCCTTCTCCAGCCGTCACGATTTTTCCTCCAAGCAGCTCTTGCCAATGAGAGTCAAAATTCGTTACAGTTGAAAAATTTAAATTCATCTTCATTGGCGGGGGAGTTATATATCTGCAGCTCTCTCCCTGGAAACCTGCATCGCAACTTTTGTTTTAAAAGTTTTTTAATTGTTATCATTTGAAATCTAAAACTGAGATTCGAATTTTAAAAATTTATCTTCAACGACTTAAATATAAACATTTAATGTTTCGGTATTTGGGCGGTTTTAAATGTAATTTTAATGGACATTGCAATCTTTTGCATAATTTTTCAATTTACAAAACATTGACGACATTATAAAATTTGATAGCTTAAAAATTAGAACTTAAATTACAAGGCAGTTGTTACTTGCACTCTCCAAAAAGACATTCACCGTGTCCGTTACAATGATCAGGGCAGCTCGGTCCAATGTACAAATCGTCTAAGGCCCACAATTTGCCGTTGCTAATAAGGTGGTGGTCAAGTTTATGGTCATTTATGTGGAAATCCATCTTGCTTTGATAGAACTGGTGGAGACTTTTTGTTTCAAACTTAAACCTTGTGTATGGTGACCTGAAAAATATACACATAATGAACTGGTATGGTATATTTTAGTTAGTTTCTGATGACGAGATAGTCAAAAAAGTCAAGTTAAGTTAAATTTTTTTAAGAGAATAATAACATAGATAATAACATAATTAATTATCTAAGTTAAATTTTTTTATTGGTGCTATTTAAAAATCTCTTAAGATTACTGGCATAGAAGCACTAACAACGAGTGTTGAATATTTATTGGATTAGCACAAACAGTGTTTAACAAGTCAGTTGTGAAGAAAACTAACAATGCATGTTTAGGGATCACAATGACCAAATTCTTCCAGCCATAATAGAACTCAACTGGATGAAAAATGGATCCTTGTTTATAATTATTGTCACAATCTCCCATCGCCACACATCCTTTTTCAAGGATGTTCCAAGTTTTTCCATTATCAACAGAAAATTTAACCACAAACACAGATAACGCAGATGGTGTACTTATCAAATGAGTTATTCTTGAACAGCCATAGGCCAGTTTAAATTGAATTATATGGCCTGAGTTGACGTGCAATGCATTGGTTTCTAAGGAGGAAAGATATTGGAACCTAAATTTCCATTTTTAAGTTAATAAATTTAATCATCCAATCAATAAAATTATTTTTAAAAAGCTAATTCAAAAGCAGATGGGCCTTGAAATTTAATTCAGAAGTAGTTAAAGAAAAATGGACGAAAGTTCTAAAATAAAGAAGAAAAAAAGGATATAGGAAGTTAGTAAATATTTTTGTATTTTTCGTAAAGTTTACTATCAAAAAATTTATAAATAATGTGGTAATATTTTTATTAAACGATTTTTCTATGAAAATTTAATTAAAAATACTAAAACAAAGAAATGTAAGTATTTCAACCACAACCTATACACATTATTTCTCTGGCAATAATTTCCAACGCTGGCTTTGTCAAAAATCATTTTTCCTTTCCCTGCTAATTCAGGATCAGGAGAATGGAATCTTTCCAGTAGAGCATCATGCATAAAGGTGGCATAAACAACATCATCCAGGGCCCACACCTGATTATTCAGCTGTGCATCTGCCGGCTGCCAAATTCTGGTGTTGCATATGTTTCTGCTGTAGACGCTGCTGTCGCTCTCTAATTTGTTTTTCTCATTTGTAAGAATGGCTTCGAAGGTGGCGTCATTTGGTGGATTGTTTCTCCGGGGTTCGATGTTTATCGTGAACGTTCTGTTGTTGGGTCAAATGAAAATTTTTAAAAATAAACAATTCTTAAAAAATTCAAAACCATTGATTTAAATACAATTGAAAAAGAATTTACGATTAATTTTCAAATTGAAATTAGTTTAATTTAAAATTAATTAAACAAATTATTTTCACATACTTTTCTTTTATGAATTCTCCAGTAGACAGTGAAATGTTTTTCAACGTTTTCCATTTCACTCCACTGTCACATGAAATTTCAACAAGAACGAATGCGGCAACGACATGAATATAACTTTTATTGTTGACAGCATCATCAAATTCATCTTCATAGAAGTCACAAACTTTTAAAGAGAATCGTAAGAACCTTTTTTTTGTAAAATATTGAAAAAATTGCTTGAAACGGTATTATCGTTAAAAATAGAGACACTTTATTTGAAAACGACACTGTACAAATACAAACTTAACTCCTGTGGTGTTAAACATTCTCATGACGCCCATCCTCAATCCTGCCTCATTGAAGACCATTGACCTTCCTGATGACAAAACTCCGCACGAGTACGAGGAAGAAGCCCCAGTGTGATAAGAAAACAAATGACCAATCTCTTCCTCGTCATCCAACTTGAATGGAGCGTCAGCAAAGTCTTCATGAAGTGGTGGTTGAGGTGATGACGTGCAATGTTTCTCAACGCCACCACCTTCACAACTTCTGAGAATATTTATTATTACATTTCTGCGATGAATTATTTGCAGTTGAATAAATAAATGCTTTTGAATGTAGTTATTGAGAATAATGATGTATAATTATAAACAGCTGATGGTAGTAAGTCTTAACTATATATACCCATGGTCATAACTTATGAAAAAGGAATGATTAAAACATCTAATCAAATTATGATGAACTTCAATGAACCCCAAAACCCTAGCCATAAAATTCTATTTCTAACAATAATAACAGTTATAATAATAATAATAATTATTATTATTATTATTATTATAGTTTTAAGAGCAATCATCTACCTGCAGGTTAAGTTTGGCAGACAGTCTCCACTTCTTGACCAACACTCTTCACGACAGTGACCAACGTAGACTGATGTTAAAACGTTGAAGTAAATTAGTGGAATTTTATAAAATACTGCAAATAAAAAAATTGATAAATGAAAAGTGTGAATGAACAGAAAGTTCACCCTTGAGCACGTTCCAGAGGACTGTACTTCCACTTCTTCGATTGGTGACCGACCATCGAAATCGTACTGGCGATGTGTTGTTGAGGGCCTCACTTAGAAGGATCGTGTGTCTTTGCTGACTGAAACATTTTATACAAATGTTACGATTATGATGGATAAATTAAAAATTACAAAAATATGACAATGAGGTATTGATTGTTTTGAAGCAATGTTTACAACAAACAGTACACGAATTGTCGAGCTATTGTTAAAAATCGCAAATCATTTTGAAGGTGAAACATCCCAATGCAAATCAATCAATCAATAGAAATATACTGTAATTGTTGTAATCAGTTTAATAACGATACTTAATTAAATTAACTTTTGAATCTCGTTCCTGTCGTAAAGATGCACGGAAAAAGAATGCGATGTGAGGTAACATGCAGGCGAGTTGAAGCAGATCTCATGCAGTAGGTTCCAATGAGCGCCATAATCTCCAGAATACTCGATAGACATCACGCTGATGTCGATAAATAATTTAAATCCAATGAAACTCGTAAGAATCACTAATGTTATTAATGAAAATATTAGAATAATCTTAACATAAATTGAAAAATTTGTAACAATAAACGGTTTATAAAGTAAACCTTTCAGTGTGGTCGTATATGAAATTTGCATCTAAGAGAACTTCAACAGTCACCTGCATTACCAATTCTGTACCAGTCGAAAGTAAGTTGTCGTCATTACCAATAGGAGACTTGTTTAAGGTTAAGTCATTGCTTATAATGTAACTCGCGTTGTTTTCAAAATGCAAAAATGATCTTTCCGTCAACATCTTTGGAATATATCAATGTTTTGGTGAAAGTTTACGTGATTGCAAGACGTGAAATTATGAAAACATTGATCTCACCTTTAACTTTATTTGATTGAAAAATAACCAATTAGAAGCATCAATATCGTTGAAGTTATCGAAAAGAAAATTTTTAAAACTAGTAGATGATTTGATTAGCACATCATCCAATCCCCAGCAAGATCCTGTGTAATTCGTTTCGTTGGGAATAGAGACCCACCTAACACAGTTCTTTGGCTCCCTCAACTCTTCTGGCAGATTTATATTAAATGTGGTTTCTAATTCGATCCTGCGTTTCAATAATTATTTCCAATTTATTTAAAAAGTTTGAGGTGTTAAGTATAATATAGGTAAACCTTATAGAAGCTATCTCAATGAATTTTGAACAGTTTTTAGAACCAGCTTGAAGGGAAACATATGAATCGTTCATGTTTCGGTTCAAACAAGTCGAATGATCTGCATTCCAAATAATTATTTTATCATCTTATGAATTCATTTCATTGTTTCAGAATAAATTAACTAAGACGATTTTAGTTTTAAAAAAGAACCAACATATTTTAAACTCAATTGAATGAACGGAGCTTAAATCCATAGGCACGGTAACCTATGAAAAAGATATTTAAATATTAATAAGAAAAATATTTCTAACTGTTTTTCATAAGTTGATAAATTTTTTTTTAAATGACAAAAGTAAACAACCATTTCGACTTCATCATTATTTTGACATGTCATTGATTTGTAATTAGTTGAGTCGCAATCGTTTGAAAGCTGGAAACCCTTGGTCGACCGCCTGTTGAAAGGAAGCATTTTGTTTCTGCCAGTTTTATTGAATAATATTTACAATTCACTGCATACCAAAGTCTTCTGGAGAAGAATGTTGTAGAATCAAAATCATCTCTAAATATTACTCCAGCTTCGTTTAAACTTGCTAGGCTCTTCGTGACTGTACGTTGGATTACATCATTAATAATTCAAGAAAGCAAAATTTATAACTTTAATAGAAAAATGATTCAAAATTATTTTGAATAAATTTTATTAAAAATTAAGCAAATACTAAAAAATTTAGTTTCAGAAACTGTGTACATCACCTTCGTACCGGCACAACGTCGCTGCTCGATAATTTTTCATTATCATTATAGAGTCTATTTTTGCAGTAATCCTGAATAACACCACCCAGTTAAATTACTATGTTCTTTGATGGAAAGTAATAAAATAGTTGTACCTGAATTGAACGCAGTCAGAAATATCATCTGGAGCTTTCCAGCTGAAAAATAATTTGATTTTTTCCTTTCCAGGTTCTTCAACATTCAGTACGGACGTGCATAAGTTGATGTTGTTTTCATTTTCGCTGGAATGCTTGTCTGCGTCCGCATCATTGTCTCGGTCCGTAATGTGATGATTGCCATATGACGCAATAACTTTCAAACTGTCAATATGTTCGCTCAAGGTGATCGATGCTGGCAAAACAAATGGAAGAAAACATCATATTTATTAAATATTTTATAAAATATTCAAAAGTTCAAAAAATCTACTGACCGTTGTAATGATGGTTCGGTTGGTAGAAATCAACATCCCCCTCAAATAACAAAATGACGTTCAAATCATGCTTCTTGCTGCTCTCCAGCTTGTTGATTTGACATGGAAAGAAAGCAGCATCAATTTGAATGGTGCCAATCACAACAACTTGCATCAACGTACAGATTATCAACAAATACCTATGCAAATCGTTCAGACACATTTCCAACGTAAATAAAATCTTCAGTGAGAACTCGACTGCATGCCCGTTAACACTAATTTGAATGAAAGTGAAATATCGCTAGGCTGATATAGGCTGTGCAGTGCATATCGTAGCAGGCCTTTAAAACTTCAAATACACAACAGACTGATTGATAAACAGATTACTTAAATTTATTGCTCCAATCGGAAACAGACATTCACAACAGCCTAAACAAGTTCTCCATTAAAAAAAATTCAGCTGACTGATGCATGTTTTAGTTGATGGTGACGAGTTGATGAATTTCAGTACATATTTTTACTTTAATGTTTGTGCAATAAGTGCCATTTGTATTAAAATTGTATTTAAATAGCGCTACAAAAATGGTAGCGGTAGAAATAATTTCTATAACACAGAAATTGTTATCGTTCTGATGGTTACGCAGTTTCGGGCAGACCTACTTTAATATCACTTCTGCTAAATCGTGTTATAATTATTATACGATCCTCATTCTATTTTGATATTTACAATAGTAACGTTTCTTTTCTTTCAGACATTTTTTATGTCTTGTTACATAAACTTGAAAAAATAATTCTCTCACAGCAAAATCTTCATTTTAATGTTATAACAAAACAAAAGAGCAGTACAACGCTGATAAGTTCATTTGAAAGCAGTCCACAGCAGCAACTAAACCAACTCTTAAGATAACCCTGTTGCCTGCCTTTTATGGCTTGATGGCTCAAAAATCATTACTTCTGAACTGATAAGGTATTTAAACAATTTATTTATTGATTGCTTGATTGATTTGACTTTTATGTATAATAATTTATGTATGATCATTTATTATATATAAGGTACTTTAAAAAAAAAGTTAAATGCTGTCTGAAAGATAAACATGTTCATCATTTATATGCAACATTTTATTCATTATAATTTGTATCTATTAAGTTATTTAGTAGAGTTCAAAATATCAATTGCATGGAGCGAAATTTTGTGTCAGTAAGGTGATTTGAAGTAACTTTGCACAACTGCTTGTTTAATGTTTAGAGACTTTTGTCTCATCTGTTTTGTTGTTGTTGTTTGTTGTTGTTGTTGTTGTTGTTGTTGTTGTTGTTGTTGGAGTTGTTTGTTGTTGTTGTTGAGTTTTGAATTGTTGTTGAGCAAAATTTTGTGTCAGTAAGGTGATTTAAAGTAACTTTGCACAACTACTTGTTCATGTTTAGAGCCTTTTGTCTCATCTGTTTTGTTTTGTTGTTGTTGCTGTTTGTTGTTGTTGTTTAGTTAGAACAAATGTTTTATATTCATTTTTTTAAATTATTCTTTTGAAATAAAAAATTAATTTACATTCAAATGCATTTCAAAAAGCTAAATGCAGAAGACATAGAAATTAAAACTTTTTATTAACGGCAGAAACATTGCAAAAGAAAGCTTGTCATAAATAAGTTGCAGCATATTTTTTAATCTAAAATACACTAGTGTGATTTATTGTTGCCCAAGTTGAACATCCTAATAGATGTTTATAACCGTTTTATTGAAAGCCTTCATTTGCTAGCTGCTATTTTGATGCGAATTGAAGAGTTGTGTATTTTATGAGCTGTTAATTAATTACGCATAACTTTGCATGACTCCGCTATTGCACCAACATCCATCCATCTCTACCTAACCTATCAAACATTAAAGATGCCAAACTTTGTGTGGCTTTAAAGCAAGATGTGAACAAACTTTTTTGACATACATCTTATATATGTATATGTGTGTATACATACATTATATGCATGTAAACATTTCTGAACTAATGTAATTATCACATCATCCTCAGATATAAATTGAAAATAAATGCAATTGTTCAGCATTTTTGTCAAATTTATCGATTTGAAAAATTTGTTGAAATATGAACTAGACAACTTGGCAATGCCACTCCTGTTATTTTCATTCAGCAATGATCTTTTTTTAGACTTATTTATATTCAAGCAAAAATATGTTTGTTCACAGAAACATGTAAACTCCAATATTGAAAATATACTGCGTAAGCTCTGAAAGGAACAAAATTAAAATATTCTCTGCGAATAATTCTGAAAGTCTGGTATCCTATTAAATGCTTGTGAATAAAACGTACAAATGGGCCAAACTTAACTTACGTACGATACCCACGCAGGCTGTCTAAAATGATTGGCGTGGTAAGTGGCATACGATGAACTAACAAGCATTACAATTTCTTTACAATATCATATCGTTTTGACAATTTTTACAGCTTTATAAAATTCTATCCTCACCGAGTGTCTTCAAAAAAGACTCACTCATCTTTTCAATACATGCACATAGGAATTTTAGCATTAAACTTTTCAAGTAAGAATAACTCTTTGGCAAAATAAAAAAAAGTAATAAGTCTATAAACCTTTTTAAAAATTAAAAATAAAATCGAAAATGCTTTACGCTGAAACACTGATCAGTACAATTATTTATGGAAACTTTTTATTGTTTTGATAACTAGAAATTATGTCGGATGAAATTGTGATTGGTACAATTGATGTTCGAGCCAACAAGATTTGCATTTTTCTCCACTTATCAGCACTGGATGGATGCCTTCGATGTGCAGCATCAAACACGCCGCATTAATTACCCGCTAATTAACTCAGTCTCCCTGCCAATGATTTATTAACAAAACAGACACATTTTTTAAATGGAAATTGTTGCCGATATCTACATGTGTTTTTAATTTGATGAACTTTTTTCAATCTAATGAGTTTTTTATTTTAATGAGCCTCCCCAAACGTTCGCCCGTCTGAGAAATGTATTTAAATTGACAATAAAAAAAGATTTCTGAAGAGTGAATTGTAAAACATTTTGAAGCCATTAATTGTTTAAAATAAAATTGATAATTTTTATTAAGTTGACGTTGAATGATTATCAATATAAATCCATCTAAGCAGTTGGTATCAATGAATCAACTATTATGATACGTTGAGCACACTGACTGAACATAATCACTTATGTTTGACCTTGCAAACATTTTGCACCGAACAAACATTGTGATAACATGAGCGTGAAATCAATAAGAGTCGCAGGAGCTTGATATTTCATACAAAGCTTTCAACAAAACATACGCCTAGTAAAATATATGTATCTCTCTATCTATAAAGTATCAATATATCAAGATAACTTTAAGTTCTTGTTACTAATAGAAAAATATTATTTTGCAATATTATTCAATTGAATAATATTAATCCGTTACATGTTCTAACAACATTATAAATCACTGACAAATTAGTTGAATTTAAAAAAAAATACTATGAAACAAGGCATTTTGTATTAAATGTTGTTGTTATTCAATAAAGTTTTAAAAGTAACCTCAAGGCTCATGCACATTCATTAGTGGCTAAAGTAATAAAATAAAAACAGGCAAAAAACATAGTGAAGCAGGAATCAAGTACATACGAATAATAATAATAAATATATTAATAATAATAATAAATATAATAATAATAATAATAAACGAAACATCTCTTTACGATCCGAAACGATCCTTGCATACGGGTTTATTATGAATATTTCTTAGGTAGATTTTGTTGTACATGTGTTTGGTATATAAGAATTTCATAGAAAGATAAGAGTGTATGAATCGTGTTGAACGTACGTATTTCTTCTTGCCTCATTCAATTGTTTGTTTTCTTACTCTATCACCGTTTCGACTGGAATAAATAAAAGCATTCGTTTATCTTTCTTAGAGAGTTTACGTAATAAAAAATTTGATTTTCAACAAAAAAATATGTAATTTAATCAACATTAATAATTTAATATACAGAAAAATGATTACACTTTAACATTTCAGATAGAATTAATAATAATTACACTTGAGTGTTAAAAAATATCTCAAAGGAATTATTTCAAAAGAGCAATCACTTGCAAGTAATTTAAATGGTGTGTGTGTGTTATCTTAAGTACATGTTTATATTCTAGTGAAATTTATTTTATCATTTAAAAGAAATTTTTCATTATTTTTAAATAGCAAATATTCTTGATTATTGTTAAAACTTATTCACAACTAATTTGAAAATTAATCGGCAGTTATATAAATAAAGAATTTATAAAGGCAAAACAATCGTTTACATTTACACAACACACCCTACGTTAATATAGTGTTAGTATGCACCGAGATAACGTGTTATCAAGTGGGTAGGTTACTGAGGTTTATATTATTTTGCACGGGCAACGTTTTCTGCAATAAACAACAAATTTCATGTACCTTGAAATTTCATTTTATAGTTTGACTTTATTTTATCATATTCCATTACGATATTGTTCATTATTACTATACTTGGAATGAGTAAGTCGTTTGTTGGCTAATAGAAGGAAAGTAATAAATCTTTGCTTTGTTCTTACACTATAAGGTCTCAACAATTGTTAGTTTGTTACAATTTTAAAATTATAATTTTTTGGAAAAAGTTAATGCTTTTCATCTAAAATATTTCACCATTTCCATTCGCATCACGTTCCCTTGTTGACATTCATTCAGACTTGGAACCACTGAGTCTAAACTAAAATGACAACATATTTTGAAAGAAATTAAACTTTTGATCGCACTTTGCCTTTTCAATTTATTTCAATGTTAACGCACGTAGAATTTGATTGCACCAACCCCCAAGTGTATGTTAGCTAAGCGTATTAAAAAAAATTGAATCCTTACGAGCACATAGCATATAATCTGATGTTTTACAACGCAAACTTCGGTTTATGATGGTAGAAGAACTGTAGCGATTTCATTTTTATAAATTTGATTTCAGCTTTTGCATTTTCCTTTCAATTCTTTATTGGCTTTCTTTCTGTCTCTGTTCAAATCATTTTCAAAACTGTAATCCTAACCTACAAAATAATATTGTTGAAATCTCCAGCATTTTCAACACAATTACATCTACGATGAGATTGGGCTTGGGATGAAAAATATCAAACGTTTGGGATTTTGTTCAAAATATACCGATTCTTCATGTCAGCAGTATATGTTATATATATATATATATATATATATATATATATATATAACATCAGTTCATCAGTTTTTGTAGGCATGTTGTGTATTTTTCTGGTTTTGTTGAAAAATAATTTTTTCCTTAAAAATTTGGTACATTAGAATTTTTTTCACACATCTAAAAATTATTAGACGTTTTTCCTGTGTATATGACGCTTAACTGAGTATGTAACCTCTACAACACAGTTTCTGCATGTGCTCCCATTCGTTTGTACGGATTAATGTTCATTTGTATGAACTATTGTTCATGCAAAAAGGAGTATTGCTTATTAAAATATTATGCCTACCATGTTTCATCTTAGGATGTAATTAATAGAAGATGTTCTTTAAAATAAAGTTTATCAGATTGTTAACATAGGATTGTTTGGTCAGACCACAACGTCCAAAATGCACCTATGCAATTGTAACACTTAACATGGGTTTAACAGAAAGAATATGGGTAACAATGTACCTCGGATGATATGTAGTAATAATGTATGAGGTACATCGCAACAACTATGTACTGCGCTATAATGCATAACACATAACACAGATCATACGTGCATAGCATAGTAGTCATCATATTGCATAGAACGAAAAAAACTTCAATATTTCTCTTTTAGTATACATATCACTTCATTGCAGTATCCATACGGTGCAACTCATCACATTCACAGAAACAAACATTCTTCGCATTCGTTTATGACAGTTCTTAAACTGGAAAATATATCTTTGCTCATTGCCATGTTATTTGTTATTTACTGCAATCTTCTTCACACATTCCTATGCATTTTTATGTGATGTTCATGTGTGACAAACTTGTTAGCAATTAATAACAATTTATTTCAAGGTTCTACCAAGAGTTAAGAAATTGTTTTTAAGATTTTCATGAAAAAATTCTTACTTTTATGCATTGTCCAAATATATATATATATATATATATATATATATATATATATATATATATATATATATATATATATATATATATATATATATACTGTGAGATATAGGGTGTGCGATTGAAATTTTAAAAAATTGTTTTGTGTGCAGAGATATGCGTTCGTNTGAAAAGCAGTGAAAAAAAATCGAGAACAATAACAATAAATGAGAATGGTTGGAGCGTAAGAAGGAGCAAGGAGCAGATGGATTACATAAAAAATAACGAAGAAAACATGAACGGAAATTTATTGGCGGGAGAAAATATGGATGCTGCTTCTGATAAAGTTATGCAGTACAGAAATGTTGTTCTCGCAGGTTATTTCAAACATTGGTGTTATATTTGGTTATGTGGTTTGTTCAATTAATTTATCTACAAATTTTTTCTGAGAAAAATTTTTTTTATGAACTTTTTGTAAACACTTAGCAAGTTGTAAATATTAACTTCTTGTGCGTGCATCAAGTTGTAAATAATAATTTCTTCTATCGCGCCAAATTGTGAATACTAATTCTTAGGTGCACTTTACATCAACGCTTTCGAAAAAAATACATTAACTGTGTATGAAATAATAGTGAAACAAGTTATTTCCTGAAATGATAGTAACTCTTAAAACGACTTTCTACAAAATGAAATACTCACTTTTATTTGTTGTTCGTTGAAATGTATGAAAATATAGCAACTGATTATAAATTTCTTTTAAAGATAATTTTCCATCCTATGCGAAATGGAAGTTCATCGAGATTATGCTGGAGAAGAGGGATGATGAGGACAGTTTTGGATTCATTCTCATGAAAAACAATAATTCTACAAAACTTTTGAACAAGTCAGCAAGTAAAGTAGTAAAGAAATTGGAAGATGCAGTGAGACACGTGGGGGACAAGTTGGTTGTCGTGGAGATACTTGAAGGAGGAGCTGCACACAGGTATGCACCATCCTTGCTCATTCGCCATACTTTTCCGGCATAATATTTTTCATTATTATTAGCCATCACTTTTAAAACAGTTAAGTTTTATATTGAAAATTATCACAAAACTCAATAAATAATACGCAGAGAGGGGACGATGAAGTTGGGTGACCAGATAGTGGCCATCAACAACATCAGCATGAACCAGCTAACAGAACAAATGGCCCACCACGTCATGAAACAATCAGGCAGTTCGGTCACTCTCTGTATAGAGTACATTACTCATTTCGTTGGTTATTACCTCTTAACCTTTTTGTCCTATATCTAAATGTCATAGAACAGTTTTTATTAGAAAACCTATTGTAAATTCGTGTCTAATATGCCAATCAATTTGAGCAAATTTAAAACTTATAATGTTATTATTTACATCTTATAATGATGTAGATATTCATCTGTCTACTTCTATAGCAGCTATAATAAGAAGAATTTTCACATTACGCCATAAGATGTTTGATGTACGAAATTACAACAGAATAATTGCATCTACACTTTTATAGATTTTCGAACGGACAACCCAACGCCAATTCTGGTTCACTTGAAAGATTTCTTTGTTACTCCTAACGAAATTACGCTAACATCGCAACAACTTTCAGACGCAGACGAAGAAATCATCGTTGTTGACAACGTATACGAAGCTGGAAATGTTGATAGGTTGTCCTTTTTTTAATTTAGTTAAATTGCTTTCAATATTCTGATAAACCTAGCGTTTTAATCTTCATATTGATGTTATTGACAACAGGTTAGGTTTAATACAAGCCGGAGATCAAATTCTTGAAATCAACCACGTTAACTTACGTCAAAAGTCGCTGGACGACGCCATCAGGATTTTGAATTTGGCCTCTCAAAGGACATCGGCGTCATCCAATCCACTACGCCAATCAGCATTGCCAGTATTCTCGCGCTACCTCGATTCAACAAATATTTCATCGCCAGCATCTTCTTCCTTGCAACTCATTACATTTCCAAGCACGTACCAGTTCCCTCCTTCGCCTACCGACCCAAGTGATCAATTACTATTTTTGCTGATAATTCATGTTGCTTTTTTTACTTTTTCAAAATGTTTCAATTGTTTTAATAGTTTCAATTTATTGCATAAAATAAGTTACACGAAATTTAACTATTTCAAAAGGCAAAAGTATATTAACGTTGTCAGTTAACTGAAGAAAAGTTGAATTGGAAGATGAGTGTCTGTATTAGTGCTTTACGTTTATCTGTTGCGTATTTAGTGCAAAATATTGATTGTTTTAGCTGTTTATGAACGCAACAACGAAACAATTGTTAAACTTAAGCTTTAGGTCTGGTGCTTTGCAAAGATCTCTACAACAACTTGGACCTGTTGTACAACTTCAAGAAGGCAACTGCTTGCATAAGAAGCGATGATGACGATGAAGGAGAGGATGGGCGAAGGAAGCACCCTCCTCTGGTGAGGATGAAAATGTTGCATCGAGGCAATAACCTCTCCTCGACGGAGCGATCTTCAAGTTTGAAGTCATCATTCGCTGGTTTGGACCACTTCAGAAGCCTCTCGTGCGTTTCGAACAGTTTCAACGAAGACACTGAAAAACCGAACTGGTTTGGCGAGGCGAACAACGTGAACAACAAATCTTGCCGCACCTTTTCATGCATACAACCAAATGAAATGAATAAACACGATGTGGAAAATGAGATAAACTTCAACAGTTACTTCTTAGAAAAATATATTCAGCAAAACCATCAAATAAAAAAACAGCTCAGCAAAGAATCACCTCTATATACAAAAAAACAGAGCGTACAATCACACCAAAATCAATGCAACAACGTGAACGGTAAAAATATGATCGACAGTGCTAATAATAGTTCTGTGGTGAACATTGAAAAGAAAACACCGGGCGGCATACCAGATGATATTCGCGTGAATAATAGCGCCACATTTGATGATATTAATTATAGAAATAATCCTCTAAATAAGGAATTGAGCAGCAAGGACGACGGCAAACACGTCTTATACCAAACAAAAACCATCGACAACAGAGAGCACAACACCGTTGCACATGCAGCAAACACACGTACGGAAGCTGACTCCAGAGGGAAAGATGAAGTTTCAAACATTACTACTCCATCAACAAAACAGAAAGGTAGCTCTTATTACATTCATCACATTTTTTTCAAGTCAATCTTTTGCAATTTTTATTAAGTATCCACCAGTTCATCAGTGCTTATAAGCTCCTTTCTTCCAACAAATAAGGACATATAATTATAATACTATATATTTATATGGTTATTTAATTAGTTAGATGAATAACTATAATAATTAAAAAGAAAATTTTCTAAATGCTTCTTCGCTTTCTGGTGGTAATCCTCATTGAAACACTTGTTCGCAACTTCGTTTGATCATTTTAGTGGTTCGTAGCAATCAAGTGCTTAAGTAATGAAAAAGAACATCGGCAAAGAAATAAAAGTGGAGTGGTTTTTTTTAAACTGATAACAGACTAATTGATTGAAATCTTCAAATTCTTTCTTCATCTCTATAGCATTTTTAAAAATTTGTTCTTACAAAATCTTTTTATATATAACAAAAATTAAACAAATTCATACTAAGCACTGTTAACAGCTGTTTTAATGAGCTAATATAAACAAGAGCATTCACTTTGTTTTGCGAATTCAAGTTTTTTCTGGGGTATTATTTAGTTTAAAACATCATTGATGTTATTTTTCGCTAATTTGTAGGTGTAGATAATTTTGTGGGTATCAGATTTTATAGTATGTTAATGTTGGTCAGGGGTCATATAAGTTAAAACCATTTTTCTCTGAATATTCTGATATAATATAAAAGAAAAGGACATTCAAGGCATGTTAAGCAAGAACGATTTTTAGTTTGTTCTAATTATTATCAATACATTATTGAATAGCTAAAAAATAATTTCTGTCAAGTCAACCGAAATATATCACAGAACTACGCGCAATGTGATTCTCAATTATGACCCAACTCAGCCGTCCAAACACACATTATAGAATAAAGTGACAATAATTTTTCAATAGTTCAATATTTCTATGAAGAACGGCATTGATACAAAGTAGCAATCTCATAAAAAGCGTTAATAATGTTTACAATACTTAAGATAACAGCCATAGTATTGTTTACAAAATGCAAAAGAAGAAACTACGGGTGTAAACAGTTGCGCGTTTCTAGTTCAGCTTCCTTAAATAATAATGCAAAAAATATCTCTTCAGTCTTCGTTTTTATTGCATTGCAACTGATGACGTTTCATGCGGTGTGCTGGCATTATTAGAGTACTAACAGTCTTTATTACAGCGCTTTGAATACATTAAGATCATTGCGGGTTTTTTCCATTTGAAGATGAAATAATGAGCCTATTAGGTCAAAATGATGATGACGTTAATGAACGATGGCTATTATGTTGGTGCTGGTGTGCTGGTGATGATGATGACGATGACCATGATGATTATGATTACGATGATTATCATGATAATGATATTGATCATGATCATGATAATGATAGAGAAGAGAAAGGAAAAGAATGGTTAGGATGTCGGATAAAAACAGATACGTTGGTGGTGATTAGGACATAAATTATGATGATGATGATGATGATGATGACGATGATGACGACAACGACGATGATGATGATGATGATGGCGTTCGTTTATGATGCAAATTTGATATGATCTATTTTTATATAATTATAGTTACTACTACAAATTCTTTGCTACGCCGCGATTCATACAGATCTACACGTTTATAATTTTCATTCATCATCATTATACTCTCATTGATTGTTTTCGATCCATAGCTTTTTCATTCTGCGTGCATATTAAGAATAATAATAATAATACTATTAATAATATTAGCAATAATAAAAATAATAATAATTATTATTATAATAATAATAATGATAATGTTGTTGAAGCGCAGTTGTGCATCAAATGTTTGCACACACACACACACACACACACGCTGCAAACACACACCCACGCTGCAATTATGCACACACACACACACACACACACACAATGACTCACCACATATTACACACACACACACACACACACACACACACACAATGACTCACCACATATTACACACACACACACACACACACACACACAATGACTCACCACATATTAAAAAAGGTTTGTTGTGAGTATGATCACATAGCATCGTCATCACGTCATTATTATCACCATTTCATTTGATCACGTAAATTAATAGCATGAAAGTTAATGTGAATGTCAATGAAATGATAACACACAGTCTCACTCAGTTGTAATCACCCACCAACAAAACAACTGTTGCATGCCAGTCACATTAACATCTTCCATTTACCACTCGTTCCACATTTCAGCTGATCCAACGTCATTTGATCTGACATATTCAGTTCTGCTGACAAGAAACTATGCCAACATGAGCAACAACTTCGCCGCTGGGGAACTATCTGGCGACAGCTGCCACAAAAGCACCAAGGTCGCCTCCCTCGGTCTCACCCTCCACAATCCCTCTGACAATCTGGACAAGAATATTGTCAAATCTGTTGATGAAAATAGTCTTGTTGGGCAGTATGTCGACTTTTCCTTCAACTACTTAATAATCATTTTGTTGCAGACAGTTGAAAAACTTTGATTGTGAAATGTTAGATAATTTTCTAAAGTTAGAATAACGTAACAAACATTTTGACAGATTTAATCTCAACTATGCGGCATGTAAATGTTTAAAAACAACAGCAACACACAACTCCACAACATTACAACACAACAACATCACAACAACGATACTGACAACATAGGACGGGAGCAGTCCATGTTGGTGACGAAGTGCTGGCCGTCAACAAGATACCACTGCACAGACTCTCGTGTAAACAGGCTGAAGACATCATAGAGAACGAGTACTGCAACAATGAAAACATCAGTCTGACCATCAGGAAATCCGGCAGAAGTTAATAATTTCAATGTTATATCACAAATATGTTGCAAATTAACTCATCTGCTATATTCAATCTTTTATATAAGAATAAGTTCATACGATATAAGTGTTTAGATAAAATGTAATTTATTTTGAACCGTCCAACTTACATTTTATTTATTATTACTGCAAAACATTTTTAGGGAAAACAAGACCTTCAAGAATTTTTGCTCAAGAGGTTGGCCTGTTTCAACGATTGTATTATTATTATCGATTCGATTTTATCGATTCATCAGTTTGATTTACAACAAGTTGTTTGAAATAATTTTTAAGAGAACGCAGAAAATTGCCTCCAACAAATACATTAGCATTTATTTCGTTTAATGTGACATTAAATTTTTTTGTGTCGACATACTGGATGGTGTAACGGTTAAGGTGTCTGGCATTGTTGAGCAGTTTTCAGGTTCGAATGTAAGAAATCCTCTCCAATCACATGCAAAAGTGTGTGATGAATTGATTCGCGTGTATTTACATGCACTGTGTGTTTGTTGTAATAACCTTTCGAGAAATATCTAAAAGAGAATAATAAAACTATTAATATTATAATAATAATACTCTAATAGCAAATTATTTTGGGCTAACTTGAACGTTATATACAACGTCTTACACACGAAAGAGTTTTGACAGCGCAGTTGGCTCGCACAATCCCAGTTTTGACAACGTCAGATTGTACAACCCATGCGCTCTCAACAAAGTCACTTCCAGATCAAGTAAACCTTCCTCTAATGTTGTGCCCACTTCATATAAACATTTGTTCACAATTTAAACGATTGGGCAGACGTAACACAACTTTTACATTAACTTTATTTTATTCAAATGAGTAAAATTTTGTTTGCAACAGGAAGAACCTATAATTTGAAAACGGAATTATATTGAATAAACTTACATCACTGAATAATGTAGAATAAATCAATTTTCAGAATTTGTTGTAGAAGCCGAAGTTCACCACTCTCTAGATGATCTCGGGACAAACAAGCACCCGACCAAATACCACCGCCCTCGCATGGACAGCCCGCAACTGCCCACCCAACAACCGCCTGTTCAGGGAAAATTTAACGTCGCATCAAAATTTGGAGACAAAAATGATTCAGTTTGTAAAAATGTGAAAATTGATGTTAACTCTCCAGCCAGAAATTTAAAAGAGTTTCATATCTCACCGGAGACTAGAAAGAACATCTACCGCAACATCAAAACTCGAAGCAGGTGCATGACCATGGACTTTTACAAACAAAGCATCGATGAAGATGACGACGCTTTTGATTTCAACGTAAACACTTCTGAAAATAACGATAACTCGAGCGTAGAGAATAAAGTTAATCAACCGACAACATTTGAAAGTTCCCTTGACTACATAGACGAACCAGACAGAAACATAATCAGGGCTACAAGTAAAAAAATTGAAGCTTTAGCAGAAGATGTTGACGAAATGTTGGACATGATAAAAACCTCTGAACAGTCCAACAAAAACTTTATCAAACAGCTTGAAGATGAAGATGCGAATTGCGGTCGAGGGGATGTAGAAAGATCGGGCGAGAACATACCTCACCATGACGACAATGACAAACATGAAGATTATTTCATTCGTGAGTTACCCTCAGAGTTGAAATTGAAAAATTCACTCGACAGATTAGAACATCTTTTGAGAGACATCGATGATGTTTCACTTTTCTACCAGTCTGGCCAATTTAATGATTCGTCTGATAAAGATCAAGTTATTAAAAAAGCAGCCAGCGATGATACAAGCGATGTTGTCATTGAAGATGATTACGATGAGAAGTATGTGACGCTGTTGTCATCGGTCGACCAGGTGCAACCTGCGTCGTCGGCCAACAAATCCTCGTCGTCATCACCCTCTGATAAAAAGTTGACTCAGCTATTCAATTTTTTGGATTTGGTATCTGATCCCAATGAAAATTTGTGCCAAGGTGAAGATACGTGGGCAGAAGATTCTCCCGATCGGGGTCCTGTCCTTCCTGCTTCTACGTGCAACTCTTCCCAGGCGACCACGTCATTCTTCTCACCAACAGTTACAATTCAAACTCCTTCAGCTGGCATCATTTCTGGTGACGAAGCGAAAATATCCAATAATCTCGTAGATACTGACAATTCCGATGAAAAAAATATCATCATTATAAACGAGAAAAATGTAAACAATATCAAAAATCTTGTGCAATTCTTAATCGTTAGTTCGTCACTTGGTGGTACATATTTTGAAAGCACAAAACTTTCTGCACAGTCTGGTGGTGCAGACACAACCAGCAACACTAACTGTACTTTCAGCAACAAGACAACAAACAACAACGCCGATGGTGATGATAGTGACGATAACGACGGTAGTGAGTTGTCGAGAGTCACAAAACATTTGACCTCCAAAACAACGCCACACGTTCTGCCTATTACCGTAACAAAACATTTCCACAACATCACCATCACTAAGGACGGCAGTGCAAACTTGCCGGCCTCAACAACAAGTTGCTTCTGCTACCTGCCTTACATAACCTCCTGTTTGGTCGTAACTCCATTAAATAGCGACAACAATGTAACAACCAGTTTGGACAACTTACATTCCACCGTCATCCAAATTTCGTCATCAGCCATCCCGTTGCTTCACCCACTCACTTCATCATCACCATCGACGTTATGCACATCACCGTTGTTATCGTCGTCGCTATTATCAGTCTCGCAACCGTCGCAGTCGCTGTCGTCGCTTTTGTTTTTACAGTTGCCTTCATTAAAATCAACTGCGTCATCAACCTCATCTGCACCATCGTCATCAACCTCATCTGCACCATCGTCATCAACCTCATCTGCACCATCGTCATCAACCTCATCTGCACCATCGTCATCAACCTCATCTGCACCATCGTCATCAACCTCATCTGCACCATCGTCATCAACCTCATCTGCACCATCGTCATCAACCTCATCTGCACCATCGTCATCTTCATCAGCGTCATCTCTACCCATGTCAACCCCACCAACGTCGTCTCAGCCATCCTCCTCAACTTCATTTTCACCATCGCAAATACCATCACAAAGTAGTGAAGATAAAAAATGTTCAGTTGCTAGGCAACATGTCACTGGAAACACTGAAAATAAACAGAATATTTCAGAGTTGCGTGATAATTGTAATCAGCCATCAAGTAATGGAAATGCATCTCATTCAATCGACTTCAGAAAAAATAAACTTTTAAATTCTAATTACTTTTTTAACGCTGAAACATCTCAACTTAACAGAAGCCAAAACGCTGAGAAAAACATTCATGCCATAGATCGAGATATTATTCATCGGAAAGAAGTTTCTGAAAAGAACGCAGAGGCTGCGATCCCATTTGACGACATCGATGCTAAAAAAGCTATTGATAACGTGTTAGCTTTTCCTAATATTCATAAAAATAAATTCAGTGGCATCATCAAGAATGACAGCGCTGCAGTTAACAAGAGCCACACTGATAATGAATTACCTCAGGACCTCAGAAGAGACAGCACTCCGTCAAGTGACTATGATGAATGGAGTCAAATGTTTGAAACGATAAAATTTTCAAGCACAGAAAGTTTCACAGATGAAACTATTTGCAATGTTAAGAATGAACGTGACAGCAAATTAGTGAACGATATTAGCTTATCACTTAACACGATTCCATCTTCGTTTTCGTTCGCACCGCCATCGTCTGCAACAGCTAAGACGGCTCCGCCACAATTCGCTCCCATGCACGATCAATCACAGTCTGCTCCAACCATCAACAAATCATCTGAAAAAATAATGTCCCACTATGCTCAGGTAGTTAAAAATTTAAAGGCCCCACCAAGCATGGCCGTTTATGAAGAGAATATAAAGATGGGTGGAACCGCGAATGAACGTTCTATAGTTGATGACGCAGTAAATTTCAATCTGAATAACAGTGAAGTGGCAATTGTTGGTGAAAATTGTCGACATGGACTTCCTAAGAAACGTCTGCAAAATAATCACCCCACGCCTCATCAGCCTCAAATTAAAACAAGACAACAACGGCATAAGCAACAACATTTACAACAGTTCAAACAACAAAAACAAGACTCCCAACAGCTAAAACATTTTGTTCGACTATCACAACAAAACATCACGTCGAGTCAAAACGTGCGAATATCACACGTTAACCCAGAAAGGTTAAGTCAAACACCGATCGAAATAATCAGGGCCATTCTTTCAAAGCGAAAAGATGCAGATTCATTTGGGTTCGGATTATCGAATGGAGTGCATGAGCCTGGCGTGTTTGTATGCGGCATCATGGCGGGAGGGGCGGCCGATAATATTCTCCAACTATACGACAAAGTCCTCCAGGTCTTTAATTTATTATTTATCAATTCACTTTCCGTCGTGACCATAAATATTTATCATCGTATCATTTTTAACAACAGGTGAACAAAGTGAACATTAAAAACCTTTCCTCGAATGAAGTTGTTGATCTGATTAAGAAAGCTGGAGATATTTTAGAACTCGTGGTTTGTCGGAGTGCATCGACCAACATTCACATTCACCTCTGACAAGCATTGCACGGAAATGTGTGTGGAAAACAAATATCATCACCAGATCCGTCCTGTGATGTTACTCAATCGTCTCAATAATGCACAACATTGAAACGCCATCCAAACATATTTCTTCATTTATTTGTACGTCTCTCTATTAAATCAACAGTAATTTGTGTTAACCGAATTTTTTAGATTTTTTAAAATGAATTTTCTTAGGAGTTTAAATTTTTTTAATTTACAATACTATTTAGATTATTGAAAAGTTTCAACTAGTCAAGTGACTTAAATAATACTTTTAGTATCCATTGAATTTTGCAGTTTTTATTCACACTGACAATGTAAAATTTTTTTAAAAAATTTTTGGAAAAAGTTTTATAATTTTGTAACACGATGCAAATTTAAATTTTCAAAAACATGTCACGATCTCATTTAAAAATCAAACTGTTATTCAAAATCGCATATTTTTATATGTTCGAAGTTTTCAAACTTAATAGAACACGAGTTGGATTTGCTATAACTAATAATTAAACTGTAAAAGGACGTGCTATTTGACATCAAGTTTAGTGGCACATGTTGGCATTAAACGAAAACCCTGGTAATGGATGAATGGAAATGGATGACCAATCGTTCATTAATAATACAGCCATATGAACTTGAGAATTTGTTTTTGAAAACGGCAACGGAGCACAAAACTGCGTCACCAAGCAACTGGCAAATTATATCACAGTTACCATTGCAAAAACATAACTTGTCTTTTTATATTGGAAGTCTTTTGGTCTTGTCATGACACCTACCTAGCCAGAGCCGGATCTAGGGGAGGCTGGCCCAGTTTTATGTGTAAAATTGTAAAATTTACTAAAAATTGAACGTGATAAGCAAAAAAAGGTCGCCAAGTCACACTACCACAAATCTTGGCCACCGTCGTGAAAATTTAAACGTTTTTAAATTTTTGCCCCCCCTCCCCCCCATAGCCATTATTGAAGTTCAAACTTAGGACCAGGACGAAAATGTGGATAAAAGGAGCTTGTCGATGAACAATTCAGTTAACTGTCTAAAAATTAAAATTTATGAAACAAGTTTGTCTACACCATTTATTGTAAAGCGATATATGCATGCATCATTGTGAAGAATCAAGTGAAATGCAGTGATTGGCTGATAAATAAAAGACAAGAACTTTTTCATTTTCATGTGAAATTAATGGGCAGGTCAAGTTTTAACGCATCATATTTACAAATTTATTTGAATTCGAGAAATTTATTTATTAAAACTTGTAAATTTTCAATTTAACAGCTGCTTTTAAATATAGTAAATAATGAAAATTTGTTTGAACAAAAATAGAAAAAAATCCATGCAATTTAAGACTGTTTTTTAATATCTGGAAATCAGTATATTCGCGTTTTTAAGTAGTAACAGTTGATGACAAATCATAAAATTAGTTAATGTATAGCAAGACGCAATTCGTCGTAAGCAAATAAGAATGTGCATTACGAAGAAGCAAAATATGAAAAAAAAACAGTTTATTCCAGAATCCTTACTCAAAATTTTAAAGTTAGTTACAAGAAAATTTAGAAATATTTCGAAAAATTACAACAGACTTTAATCAAATATTATAATATTAACTGAAAAAATCGCTTAAGGAAACACCTAGTAGACAAAACGCGCAATGCGCAAAATAATTTCAAAACGGACCTCTACATAATAACATGGACTTCAATAATTCTATAACCAGTCAATCCACGGCAGATTTTTCAATTCGTTATTTAGTTTTCCCATGCATACAACGATGTTGTACGAAAGGAAGTTTTTGCTTGTCCAAGTTAATGATCATCCCCATTATCCTGGTTGATTTGTGGATCGCAGGAACTAATAATATGAGGATTCGAACATTTTGTTCCATTTAACCAAGGCAAACCAAAGTTATTCTAGGTGATCCTAATCTTACTGGAAATGAATGAACGAATGAATGAATGATGAATGACCATGAAAAATGTGACTATGCACTAAAATGTTTCCATTAAAATAATTACAAAGGGTGATATCACATCAGCTCTGAATGTTTGTAAATCTTATCCGATTCAATGTCATCAACACCATCAGCAGCAGCTTGTGACTGCATTGTTGAACGCCTACAAGTGACTGTAGGCATCGCAGCTGTTGCAAACTCATCACCCCCATCATCCTCATCTCGAGGAGAAAGAAGATGGGAGGGAGCCAATGATGCAGGTTGCGCTGTTGAATGGTCGAGTTGTACATCTGCGCTTGTTTGCGTCGATGGTGACGACGACGACGATGATGACGATGATGATGATGATGATGACAGCCGGCTCGTAGGAGGAGAAGACTGAGATGCTACAATGTTGCATTCATTTATTATCTTCCTACTATCTTGTCGAGTTTCCATTTTGCAGTCACCCATATGTTCATCACCATTGCAACACGTCTTGGCAATTTTATCATTCCACTCTTCATTATCATCATCGTCGTCGTCGTCATCGTCGTCGTCACTATCATCATCATTGTCATCTTCATCATCCCAACTTGGCGATTTGAAATTTTTTTCATATATTTCAGCTCCAGGAAACACATATTTTCGAGCGGAGAGACAGGCATATTCGTTGCCTGTTCATTAAATGAAAACATTTTAAATGAGTGAGTGCTTTTCAAAAAGTAGCCATCAAATCTATAACAATAAATAGCGTAAGATAACATGCAATTTTTTATAATGAGTTGCTCTGTTTAAATATATCAAACATTTAAGAAAACATAAAGTTTTAGAATTTACCATTTAAAATTTTATCGAGATCGATGAGTTTTTTTGCATTGCTTGGTTGATCGTCACCATCATCACCAGCAGTTTCATCATCGTCAGTGGCCTCCTCATTTTTAGAATTAGAAGCAACGTTGTTATTGTTCATGTTATCACCGCTGGTAACAGCGTTCGTAGAAACGAGAGGGTCTTTAGTAATCGGTCTATCTGCACTGGTCACTCCACTGTCCACCACTTCACTGGTTTCTGCTGAGTGTAACACGGCATTTAGTTACATCATCATCATCAATACATTTAACGACATCATCATCATCATTACATTCACCAATCAGATTTGTAAGGCCGCCAGGAGCCTAGGAAATTCATCGTTAACACTTGATACTTATGTCACAAAACGAAGTGAAATGGCATCCGATAATTGAGCAAACGGTGAATACAAATAAACAAATGATCTGATTAAATGAAATTTGGCAATTAAAAAAAGGAAGGTTATATAAAAAAAATCATAAACTAAAAATAATTTGAAACAAAGTTAACTTAATCAACTAACTTGTCTTAACATCATGGCACATATCTTCTACATTATTTATCTTAAGATCAGTGTGATTGGTTGATGGCAATGCTGAAGATGATGATGTTGGCTCAACAGACAAAGGAAATGATGATGAATATGAAAATGATGATAATGTTGATGATGTGGAGAGTGATGATGCGAGTACAACATGTTCTGATGTTGATGGAGGAAGATTAACTTTATTCATTTTTTCCTCATCACATTCAGTTTTTGATGATGCTTCAAACGGATGAGTAACTGGTGCACATGTTTTGACATCAGATGTTTTATTCAGCTCACTCCTATTACATTTCGAATGATCAACATCACCTTCATCACACTTGATGCCATTGCCATTAATTTTTATTGAATCAACAATGTCCCCATCAATGTGATCGTGTGTTCGATGAATGTTGTCACCTTCACCCAAATGGGTATGCGGATCTTTAAGGTTAGTGGGAGCAGGAGAAGTTTCAACATTTGTAACAGCGCACGCTGAAGTATCATCTGCTGTCTCACTTGTACCGGGAAATGTCGCCGTCAAGATGTTAGAAGCTTCTGAATTCAGATGTGAATGTTGATGGAGTTGTTTGAATGGATCAAGACGTTTGCAAAGTTGTTGTACGATCAGGTCACAGTCACCAAGCAGTTCAACATCAAAATTCATGTGGGAGAGTGATTCCCTGTTGATGAGTATCTGAGGCACATGGGATGGCAAAACATCTGTTGTTGTTGGGTTGATGATGTTTTGTTGGGTTTAAGTGTTGATCTCATTGTTTGTTTTGCTACGATATATATATATATCTATAAATTAATTCATGCTGTACAGATTTTAACAGTTCAATGATGGGTTGTCAATAATCAACAACAACAATAACACACGTTTAGACGACATTTTCCCCAAGATCGGGGGTTGCCGTTTGGCTACCTATGATGAAACCGAAATACCCCTCGACACCATTCCATCATAAGTAATTTATTTGGCTAATTTTTACGCAGGACGCCCTTCCTTACGCAACCACAGTTATAAGCGGTGGGCCTAGCCTTTGATGATCCAACATCACTCACAAGGCAGTGAGGGTCAGTTTAATGTCATAACCAGGACATAGGGTTCTCAATAATCATTAATAATAAAAGCAAATACTGAAATGAAGATGGGATCAAAATTTGATATTCAAAAAATTAACAAGAACGAAACTAACTTGGAATGATGGCGACAGGTCTGACCTTGAGACTTGAGCCCATCACAATAAGAAGATCACATTCCTCTTTATCCATTTCAAACTGTCGGTGGAACTCTTCCGATAGACTTTCTCCAAAAAAGACAATATCAGGTTTCAAAATGGAAAGATCAGATTCCGGTGAACAGTTTGGGCATTTAGGAACAACCTGGTTAAAAAATAGTTACTGGGCTCAAGGGTGACTTTAAGTAATCAACAGTATAGGAAAAAACAACAAAAGTTTGATGTACTTGGTCCATAACATCTTGTCTAATAACTTCTGCATTGACCTTGTGTTTGCACACCATGCAGGATGCTGTAGAGAAGGAGCCTACAAGTTTTGTTCATTTTATTTAGTTGTGTGTCATTTGTTGTTTGCACATGCCTGTGTGTTGTGTGTAAGCTGCATTATTCAAGGTATTAGGAATGCATAATACAAATATATAATAAGCAGTTGGTAAGTAATGTTAAGATTGTAGCGAAACAGATGTAGAAACAAACCATGGCACTGTATGATCTTGGTGATGCCAGCAGAAGGTTCCAACGTGTCGATGTTCTGTGTGTAATTTCTCAACAACTTTCCTGACCTCTCCAAAGCACCAATGAATAAGTGACTCAATGAAGGTTTGAACTGGCCTGGATAGATTTCCTGTAAAAATGAAATAAATGGCTTTTGTGAAATAATAAGTTATCAAAAATGTAAGTAGATTGACTACAATTGCACAACGATTTCTAAGTACAACTGGGGAAAATATCAAAATAAATAGATTATTGTGGCATGCTGTTTTCATAGAAATCAGGAAAATAAACTAGAAAATATCACAATCAAGTTAATTTGCAGTGTGGCACAAATTCTGCATTAAGCAAAAAATCCCTATAAGACTAAGTTCATTATACAAACTTCCACATTTTGTGTATAAAAAATGGAACGCAGAAAAACTTTTGAGCAGAGACAAAAAAAATAACCTTAGCAAACTTAAAAAATGGCTTGGGATTCTTTTTGAAGTATGTGATGTCGAACATTGCTTGTGGGTCGGGCAAATCAGGGTAGTCCACAGAGAGTCGGGCATATATACCATTGCGAGATCGGAAGTCAGGTATGCCACATGAAACAGACACCTTAAAAATTAAAACAAAACTTTCATCATTATTCAAGACGGTTAAAATAATGAATAAAAATAACTCTGTAGAAAGAATAAAGAAAAATTATCCAAATTTATACTAAGAGCAAGCAGTCCTGAAAACTTACACCAGCTCCAGTGAGAACAATAATTTTTGTAGATCTATCAATAAGAGTGATGACATCTTCGAACGTGGACACCTTCTCCAATCTCTTCCTCTTGGGTGGGTCTGCAATGAGACTCGCGATGAACTTCCAGAGTGTTGCATCATCCAGATCATCAGGAATCTCGGCATCGTCCATGAGATGTTGCAGGATAGATCGGGGATTGTCACCTGATCCCATCCTTTTTTCTATCCATAACATTGTTGCTAAACAGGTCATCATTATTCATTATTTCAACATCACTGTTAAGCGCATAACTATTACCATTAATATCTGGTGAATATGTTTTAAAACAATGTGTTTAACACAACAAAAACTAATAATAAATGTGAGTCTGTTAATTAATGTATCTTCAAGAGATGGAGATATTAGTTACTTTATACAATAAAAAATTCAGTGATTCGGAACATAGTTCTTAGATAATACACATCATATATATATATACAAAAACATCAACATTAACAACCAATAGCAGACTGCGATTTAGGATCATTATCAAGCAGACCACTCAATTCACTGAGTGAATCATCAAAGTCCTCCTCTTCCATTTCAATTCCATTGCTACCATGTTCCTCTTTGTCCTCCTCAGTGTCTGACTTGTTCATTAAATCTGCAACCAATCATAACATCTTTAATGAAGGAATGAATGAATGAATGAATGAATGATGAATGCATGAATGAATGAATTTAAAATTCAAGTAAATAATAAAAAACACAAAAGAGAAAGAGACATAGTTAACATGAAAATGTAACTGAAACAAAAGCGGTTTAGTCCAAATTAGTTTTTTGTACACTTAAAACAAATTCCCCTATCATAAGCCACTTGACATTTGATTATGCCATTTTAGCATTTAATGCACAGGCCTTTCAGTGATAATAAATATTAATGGAAGAACAAGAGATTTTTGTTACTATAACTATTTACTATATGAAAATAATATGTGTCTATTGCCTACTTATTTCAAAATGATTTATGACCTTGTAATAAGGCTTATTATTTTCAAAATACAATAAATTACATTTTTATAATTGATTTTTATTTTTAAATAATGTTAAAGTAAAGTTAAAGTAAAGTTAAATATTTTCTCTGCTGTAAATACTAAATATCCAACTAAACTAAATATATGTAAAAATTAGTGAACAATTTAGTTTGTTAAAATTAAATTCAATGACTTTATAATAATTTCTAGAATATAAAAAACAAAAATTATAAACAATTTTAAATATTTCGACAAACAACTTTGGCTTTCCATATAGATAAAAATAGCCAGCCAAAGGGTATTTCATTTCTATCTAAGCAACAGCAACTTTTTAAATCAACTGATCAAAAAATATAAACGCAAACTCACCGTCGAATTGAAAATTGTTGTCAGAAGGTGTAGTAGCGGTGGACCCCAGGATGGAAGCCGTTGGTGGGAAATGTGGCGGTGAGGTCCCTGACAGGTCTTTCTGAAAGATTTCGATTTTTGTGCGTTTACAAGGCGACTGAAAACATTCGACGTCGCCGGCACGTTGATTATTCTCGCTGCTAATTTCAAAATTGCGTTTTAACGAAGATTTTGATAATTTATTATCCTGAGCTTCGAATTGGGTCAACTCGTCAGCTGCCATTGTACAAAAACATAAACAAAGAAAAATAATTAAGAAAACCGAAAAAAGTTTGTAGCGCGGTCCGGGTTTGAGTAACACCAAAAGATAGTAAAAACGCTTATATTGTTATATTAATGTTCTTGTATCATAGATATATACATAATAGAGACATATGTGGTTTGTACCTATTTTATTCTATATAGGTATATGTATTTTACCGTTATATTATATTTATATATAAATTTTCTGACTGTTATCAAACAAACAAAAAAGTTAAACGTTTGTCGGTGATTTGTTATAATACGATAGCAGGTTCAATTTTCAGAAAATAAGAAAATGGTAGAAAGTTTTATAATCGACTTTTCAATATCTTTTCCCTTTCTTTTCTCATATATCTCCATATCTTGTTCTTCTGCACTGGCTACCTATAAAATATAGAATAATTTTTAAAATTTGTACGTTCATGTATAAGTCTCAATCTAAATTATTTCCTAAGTATTTGTCAGATATATTAATTGAACCTAAACGCCCCGGTTTACGATCGTCTTCTCGCTTTTTCTTAACTCGTGTTAAACACTCTTTTGCCAAATCTGCTTTTGCTTTTTCTGGTCCTTTTCTCTGGAACTTTCTGCCTATTTCTCTGACTACTTCTCCATCACTTGCGAAGTTCAGAGCGGATCTCAAGACCCATCTGTTTTCAAAATTCATTGAGGAGCGCTGTTGAACATCGTGGAAATAGCGCTTTATAAGCTGAGTGATTGATTGATTGATTGATTGATTGATTGATTGATTGATTGATTGATTGATTGATTGATTGATTGATTGATTGATTGATTGATTGATTGATTGATTGATTGATTGATTGATTGATTGATTGATTGATTGATTGATTGATTGATTGATTGATTGATTGATTGATTGATTGATTGATTGATTGATTCAAGTATTTTTCGAAATTTTGTTAAAAAACATTTTTAATACAAAAAATTTGAACGGTTGTCTGAGATTTGCTTACTGAATATGACGGCGGGGTCAAATTAGAAAATACTTGCTCTTATATGATAACAAACAAAATTTAATTTAATTTTTGGAAGAATATTAGGAAAATTTCAGCCAAAAAGTCTCTGGCCGTGTATGCACTTATACATTACCTACATTACACATTCATTTATTTCATTTCTTCACGAATAAGTTTAATTAAATCAAAAATTTATTGAAAAATCATTCATTGACTTAATATAATTTAAGGTTTTTTATGGGTTTCTTGATACGTAACTGGCCATGATAATTTTTTCATCTTCCCCAATCATGCCGACGTGGAAAATAATCGTGTTGGCATCAATTTCTCCGAGATCGCCTTCCCGAGTGTTTTGAAATACAATCTGTACTTTTCAATAAGTTTAATATATAATTTATTTTAATATTATATAATTTGATAATGTGTGTATTTGTGTTGTTTGTGAAATCTTTGGCCAATTTTCTTTTTTTTGAACAGTGTTTCAATGTTTTACTCTAGTTTATTGCTTTTGTATTTTTTTTTAAATTTCCTTAACTTTTATTAAATTTATAAGTTTTTTCAGCTAAAAGGAAGTAAAAGCAGAATTAATAGATGTAAAAACTTTACTCTGAAATCTGCAAAATTCGGATCCGCCTCTACTTTAGCTTCGGCCTCCGCAAGACCCTTTTATGAAAAATGATACCACTGGATGATACATGATACCATTAGTTAATATCATTGAATGTGATATTTTTTGAAATAAATAGATGGGCATATCATCATTGACAAAAACATTTTCACAGTTGTCAAATTTTAAAGGCTCATAAATATTACTTTATTAAGAATGCCGTATATAGCTGTATCCAAATCGATGTCTGTAACTGCCTGTTGGTCGTTATTTTCAATAAAAATTAATAAATTCGTTTTATTTTTTTAAATGGTTACTTGTAGACTATTGAATTTGATAGTGAAAATAGGTTCAAAAACAATAGTTTAATTCGTATACTATAAAATCTTTGAGATACATACGTTGAATTAGACTTCAATGCATTGAAATGTATAATTTATGGAATTTGTTGCATTTGAGCGTTCTAGATAAGATTACTAATATTATCTAACTAACCGTTATTATATTAGAGTTTATGATGATGACCGCTGCAGAGAAAATCTTCATGAATGGGAATAAATGCCCGCACATTGTTTTATTTATTTATTTGGTTGCTTAATTTACGGAATTTATTGTTTAAATTTGATACTTACACTTTTTACGAAAACGTTTTGTGCATCCCAACAACAGAAGACTTCAATAAAACATCTACATATTACTATATTATTAAATAAAATAAGGAAAGAAAGGTTGATTTAAGAAAATTAACCTTTGATTGAATTTTGAAGTAAACAACTTTAAAAAATTTGCAAAAGCTTTGTACTAGCACATTCCAATGTAATTTTAAAAAACCGACATCCAAAATTGTTATTATAACCAATTTTATTATTGAAATATAGTAGAAATATAAATGAAATGAAGTGAGCTTCTACTTAGCAACTCAAAATAAATGAAAATTGTTAGGATGGTTGGGAAAAACGTTAAGTTTACCAAGCCCGACACCGACTACCTTTCTATAAAATTAGATGCAAAAATATTTACATATGGCAAGCATAAAGAATTATAAGGCAAATTTTTGGTAGGTAAATAGAAATTATATTTGTTGATGCCTCTGGCGAACTTTGAAGCAACATTTTTAATGTGAAGTACAAATGTTAACTTTTGGTCTATGATGACCAAAAAAATGAGCCACAAAATTTAAGTATCTACATATGCGGCCCTTCTAACGTAAAATAGTTTGCCCACCTCTGATCTATGAGCATTCTTAGGAATTAGAAATGACTAACTTTTAGCAACAAAATCTGCGTTTTTTACTGATTTTTGATTTTGATAAAAAGTGAAATATCATCATCATCATCATCAATGACACAACAACACCGTCATCATTATGTTTATTATGATAAACATCGTCTATCGTCATCATCATTATCAGCAGTATTTACACCATCATTATCATCATCGTCGTCTTTTATTCCTTCTTCTCCCTTCTTTCCATCTTTCTTACGCGTTGCACTGTCAGGCAACATATTTTGTCAATTCAAAAAGCTTAAAAAATAAACATACCATTAATGAAAAATTCTCTAACAAGATTTAATAAAAGTTAATAAATTTATTTACCTTACTTTTTCAAATATAATATTCTAAGTATGTAGATGAATAGTGAAATAATCCCTGCTTGCAGTTACTTATGTTGCTTCATTGTCTTTGGAAAACAAAACACCAAACGATAATGAAACATCGCCGTGGGGTTGTTTGCTTTTTAAAAATAAATTAAAAAATTAAAATTTCTTTATTTTCTTCAACAAATAAATTTTTTTTATTTTAATAATTAATTTAAATAAATAATAAATTACTTAATAGCCAAATACTTACTCATAGTAAGTTGCTATAGCTACTGAAAACTAAAATCTTTAATAATCAATGTTGTTAAAGTTTAAAGTTTAAATTTTAAACAGTTAAAAGGTTAACTTTTATTTATTAGTCTTAGTAACTAAACTAATAAGTAATAAGTTAACATTAAAGATTAACACTTAACAGTTTATTAATTATTTTTAACAAAGTTTTCTTATTGCACCATTAAAATTTAAAAGTAGAGTAAATGTATGAACAATAGATACAAGTTTTGTTTACATTTTAAATTAATTAGATTAGTAGAATTAGAGTGTCATTTCTTAGTTTGCAGCTGAGATTTATTTTATTTAATGTTAAATTAATATTTATTATTTAATATACTTATTAATTCAACAATTCAAACATGCATGGGTGAATAAATATCTGTATGTATGATTGTATGTGTGTGCATTTTATATTTTTACTTGCATTTCATTTTTATTTAGGTTACACTTGCAGACCAGTGTGTGTAGTATTCTTGTATTAGAATTAATTGTTTTACCTTATCCAGCAGTATTTTGTACTGTAATTTACCAGCTTTGCTACTAAGGAAAATATCTTTTGCCTGGAAAGATGAAAAATTTAAAAATAATAAATCAGTTGAAATTTGTTGGAATATCTTGCTTGAATGGTTGCAAGTTCATTAGCATAGATCCTGATACTAATCGTATTTTTGGAGCCAATGATTTTGCAGTTTTTCTGTTTCAATTTCATCCAGAAAAGGTACTCTTTTATATTTTAGTATATAATATATATTGTATATTATATATTATGTATTTACATTTTATTTTATACAGCAAGATTTCACATTGTAATAAAATATTTATTACTTTGGTTTTTTATAATCCATGCATTGACTTAGCAGTTTCTAAATGAGCCATCAAAATTTTTATGTTTATTATTATGCATATATCTTCAAATATCATTGTTTTCAAACCGTAAAACTTCAATATTCTAATTATGTTTAATATATCTCTTTAAAAGTTAAAAGTAAATTATGTACTCTTAAACTGAACATTTTTCTATTTATTCCCAGCCTAATCATTTTTTTATTTTTTCCTAGCAACCGTCATACGAAGTTCTCTCAACTGTTTCATTAAAAGAAAGTGGCTTCCTCGAAGCTGATGAGCACATAGTAGCAATACAATACATTGTCGACCAGTTTGCACTCTGCATTGCACTATCCAATGGTCAAATTGTTTATTGGAATTCTCCCATCGACTCTAATCAGGTTCTTGTCTTATGTTCTATCCATTTCTTGATATTTGATTTGATGGTGATTGAATTATTTGACCATTTGTGAGAAACATTATTTTTACCACAACCTGATCCCAGTTGGAATGTGTTGGATGTTGTGAAGGTGAGCTGAAATACATGAAGTGGAGTCCTGATTCTGAATTGATGGTCTTGGTTGCAGGTTACTGTCAAACTTCTTAGTTTAATTTACTTACATTCAACATTCTTTCCTTATAAAATAATATTTTGTTCTGACACTCTTTCTAACTTCTGTTGAGAATAGTCTCTCAAATAAACTGCTCATAGAAAAGCAATTTGTTACATCAAATTATAGCTTTCTGGTATTAATCTTTATATGAATTGAAACAAAAAATAATAATTTCAATTCAATTTTCATTTGGTTTCATTCAGGCGTTGATACAGTTATTTTAATGAACAGGGATTTCCTGCCAATCACCAAACAACATTATCAAAGTTCTGATTTTGGAGAAGGTTTCTTGTTTTTACTTTCATGGTTAATTTTGACTTTTATGTATAATTCTTTTTGTTCATGTTTCAGCAAACTTCGTGTCGGTGGGTTGGGGAAAGAAGGAAACTCAATTTCATGGCTCTGAAGGCAAGCAGGCTGCTGTCAAGAAGCAAGAGGTCTCATTATCATAATTTATCATAATTAATTCAAGCTTCGTGCCATAATACTAAATCTTTCAATTGGTTATAGGAGTTAGCTTTGCTGGCATGGGATGATAGAAGGCCATGCGTAACATGGCGAGGAGACGGATTGTTCTTTGCAGTGTCATTTGTTTCAGATGCAACTGGTTAGTAGTAATTGTTTGCTCTAACTGATCACTCATATTGACGCCTGTGAAATGAACTATCTATCAACGATGATGGGTTGAGGTACATGGAATCTGTATTCAAATTTTTCATTGAACATGTTGTTTTCCAGGCGTGAGAAGTTTCAAGGTCTGGTCGAGGGAAGGTGTTCTGCACTCAACTGGCACTCCCACCAGTGGACTTTACAGTTGCATTGCTTTCATGTTATTATTTTGAGTTACTTTTATGTTAATTACATATGTGGATCTTCATGGGCTTACATATAATGTAAATAATTTGTAATTATTAATTAATTTTTGATGTATTCACTAATATGATTGTATATTTGAATGCCAGGACTCAAGGCAACTTTCTGGCAGGGGCAGTGCTGCACAAGCAACAACACAAGATCGTGTTCTTTGAGAAGATCGGACTTCAGCATGGAGAGTTTTGCATACCTCACCTCAATGAATGCTGCAAGGTTGATACATGTCTCCTTTGCTACTTCATAATCTGTCTTCAAACATTTTATTCTTTCCTTCAACACGTTATTTATTCATTTTTGAATGTTTCCTTAATTTGTTTGATTAGTAGTTTCACTACAAATTCATTTTTTTTTTAAAATGGTTTGTGCAACGTTCAGCAACGTATTTATTTTAAAAAGTGTTCACATCCGAGTAAAGATAGGTGAATGGCAATGAAATTTTAAACTGCATGCAAAAGTTAAAATACGTGAATGTGACTGCATGTTCCACTATGAACAGATCCTGGAGGTAGCATGGAACCTTGATAGCACGGCACTCTCCGTATTGAGCACTGTCGTTGATACAAAAGACCAGGAACATTCAAAGTATCAAGGTCGATCATATTTCTTATCACTTTTCTTGGTGTTGGTGCTGCTTTTTGCTTTAATTATTTCCTTAGCATATCACAATCAGCATTAGTACAGATATATATCCCAGTTAGAATCAATGTCTGACATTAACGTTGAATAAATGATTCATTTATTCACGTTATATAAAAAATTAACTCAGCTAGCAGTTTTTGTTTAATGGTTGTTTCAAGTTTAAAGCAACATCTCAAATGATGAGGATTTTTTATTCTAATTCATAATTTGTTTTCATTGCTTTGACCAGAATACCTTTCGAAATCAAATTTTTAGGCCACTGCATTTTTCATAATGACATGCCTGGCGATCAATCACTATAAATTAAACAATGCAATATATATACTTCACATAACGCAATAAGGAGTAACATTCTTGCCAATTTTAACATTAGCTACAATCTAGAGAAACAAATCTTCTTATAGGTTTGCAGTTCAATTAAGCTGCTTTTTGTTAACTTTTTGGTCCGCCTATGCAAAGTGATTGAAGTTTAAGAAACTGGATTTTATTCCACCTGGGAGGTTTGGTCCCTACAAAGAGCTTGTTTCTGTAACTGGTGGCCTGATTAATCAGTATATACTGCAAGATTGTTATGTTACTTAATAAGGTAGAGAGTAGGTCTGGCGTAATGTTAAGTTAAATTTTATTATTATTAATAGACAGAATAATATAGTTAATAATTATGAATAAATTATAAATAATAAACGTAATTGAAAATAATTACTAAACATTTCAGTTCAAATATGGACGATGTGCAACTACCACTGGTACCTCAAATGTAATTTGGAGTACGATGAACGACAGAAAGTAATCTCAGTGATATGGGACCAGGAGGTACCCCTGAGGTTCTATGTTGTGTGTTCTTCGGGATTGTGGCACACTTGCACGTATGCCAGCGTTGTGCAGCAGAGTTCGGACGATCAAACTGTGGTGGCCGTCCTTGATGGGTGTAAGCGGATTATGCCGTTTCGCCCATGTTGATCTAATTTGTTCTTTTGTCATGAAAATCGTTAATTCATTCATCGATTCATTCATTCTTTTATTATTCTTTTTTTTTGTTTTGTTTCCATCATGTTCTTCATTAATTTAACTGTCAGCCATTCAATGCCACTTAATTTCTTCAGCGAAAATTCTTATGACTCCATTCACACACGTCGTCATTCCACCTCCGATGTCTGCATACCATTTGTTTCTTCCCTACTTTGCGCACGGGTACAAAACTTTATCTTTTATTTTATCTTTTTTTTACTTTATATTTTTATTTTTAATTATAAAAATATTCTTCAACGGATGTTTATTGAGATTTAATTGTTACTTTTAATTATAAAAACACTTTTATTGCGAATTTTTCATCGTTATTTATAACTAAACTGTTTCATTTTCTATTTTACTACGAAATTATTTTCAATATTTATTCATTTGAAATCTACATGGGACAGAATAGCGTGGAGCTGTGCAGGTTCTTATAAGGACATCATAGTGCTGTCGTCCAATGCTATTCTGTACTGGTTCACTCATTCACCTGGTTAATTGTTTTTTTCTTGATGAAATTTATGATTGATTTAAAATTTAAGGAAATTATATTATATAATTATGAAAATTAAATTACTGAGATGTTGTGAAAGAAATTTTTAATTCATGCAGTTATTTTCTAATCACATTTCGTAAACATATGCACTTTGTAGAAAGGAATGACGAAAATGTTGACAAATATTCTTTTCCTGAGATGCCAACTATGGAGATCCCTGGTGTAGGTGTTGTGTTGGACGTTGGATCTGGAGGCCTAGCTCGGGCCAACTGTCCCCTACCCCGACTTGTTGCGTGGGCCAGGTATTATTTACTTATTGGGTTCAATATTTTGCTGCTGCTGGTAGGTTAAGACCGTAAATTTTTTCACGGATGATCTAGGTTTTGTGTTTGTTTATTCGTAATTTTAGATGAAATAAAACAATTGGTAGTTTGGTAAATGATGAATATTCAAAATGAGACATCCTTGTTTAGGTTTGCATCGTACAGTAACTCAACCTCTCCGTCGATCAGTCACATGACGTGGATCAACAAAAGCACGTTGATAGCGTGCGTCTGTGCAGCTGATGTGGACGGTGGCGATGAGGACGCCCTCTGTTTTATTGTCACACATCACATAAATTGGGAAGATAGAGAAATAACTGTAAAGTAAGGATACGTCATTTTCTTTTTATTGCGGCTTATTTATATTCATATAAATGGAAATGAACTTTGTTGATTAATCAGATTGAAGACCAAGATTTCTGGTGGCCAATCGGTGATCTCCATTGATTACAATGAAGTGGCTGATAGGTTGTTCGTTCAGCTGAATGATGGGACATGTCTTTCATATGATCACACGTGTTGGTCATCTTTAGCTTGCTTCTGCTTGCTTCATTTCATGAAATTTTAAATTTATTACGTGACTTTCCACTTATTTCTATTTTCAAGACCAACAGTTAGTAATTACCTACACTAGATTATAGCACTATTGATGGATTGATGAAAAAAATCTTTTAAATGATAATTAATTAATTAATTAATTTATTCATCTTTAATAATGTCACCAAACAGTCTAGATTATCACTTGGTTGATAATATGTCTTATATATATACTGTATATATATATTTATTAAACTCTGGCCTACTGCCAAACAAATAAATGATGTTGATGGTGAAACAATCAGGTGGACTTCTAACAGAGTGGAACAACCACAGAAACGTACCATTTTCCTTTCCGAGACCGTGTTCTCAGGCCTCAATAGTTACCTATCTAGATAAGGTCTCTTCCAGCATATTCAAACTATTTAATAAATGTTTGTGGTCTTTCGTCAAGCCTCTGTTAAGTTTTATGTATTTCAGTTGAATTTTTAATGCGGGGATTTTTTGTATAAATTGTCGAGGTATATTTTATTTTGCAGTGCTTCCTCATTGGACTCACGGAGCAATTCAGATTCTTCATCGACAGTTTCGAGGTGTTCATATTACTTTTAGTTATTATTTCTGCGTTCAGTTCATTTTGATGTTTTAAACTAGAACTTGGTTAGAACTGTAATTGTTAGGAAATTAAAGCAGGTAAAACAATTTCTTAACCAAGAGTATAATGCTTAAAATTCTTTAAATGAAATGTTAACACAACATGTTCACAACTTTTACTTTTATTCAAAATTAGTCTTCTAGACTAGATGACTAAAATCTGACCAACCATCATGTTTCGATTGTCATATTTGAAAGTTACCTTGTTTTTTAATGCAGGTGGCTAACAACTGCACGTCTTATGCTGTCCATAATCATTTTATACTCTTCACAACGCATGCACACACTCTGCAATGCATTCCTATCTCAAAATTAGAAGATCTAGGTTTGGTTTTTTCTGTTCATTTTGATTTTTTTTGGGTTTTATCTTTTATTCTTGTAGACCAAAACATTGATAAGAATGATGAACATTATTGTTTTATCATCAGAGAAAGAGAGAGAAAGATAGAAATTTATTGCATAATTTATCTTTTTTTGATGAAGATTGTTTTAGTGGTTTGTTTAGCCGTAACATCACCACACCACACCAGATCCTTCTTCTCTCGTCAGCATGGAATCATCGAGTGCATCAAGCCGCAACGTCGAGAGAGGTTCCAAACTGGTCTGTGTTGTTGGGAAGGAGACGAAGGTCGTCCTGCAGATGCCACGTGGCAATCTGGAAGTCATCCATCCGAGGTGGCTGCTCATTGACGAGTTGAAAAAGTTACTTGACTGGTCTGTAGTCATTTTTCCTTTGCAAAATTTTTTTATTTAAATTGTTTTTATGTACATTGGTTAATAATTCGATTGATTTTTTTAATAAGATGACAAATTACTTTTTTTTAAACTTTGTTTTTTTATGTGACGTGCTCGGGTTATAATGTACGTGATTGGAGTTTAATTCAAAGGAATCTCTGTCTACTAAACGCAATAATTGCGTTATTCACGCTTGTTCGTTCATGTACTTGCAGCTGTTGATACGTGCAAATAATTATAAGGGAGAATAACCATTAATCTATTTTTGGCGAAAATCTTAGCAGAATATTTCACATTCAATTTTTATTAATAAGTTTTGGTCATATCATCATTTTGTTATCAGTTTTCCACATTTTCAGAAACGACGTCCAGTATAATTGCTTAAATTTTTTTTATAACATTTTCAGCCAGCAGTACAGGGGGGCGTTTGAAATCTGCAAGAAACATCGCATTAATATGAACATTTTCATTGACCACAACAAATCCATGTTCCTAGAGCACATCGAAACATTCGTGCAACAACTTTCAACCTCATCCAACATCAATTTGTTTCTCAGCGATCTGTCGTTAGTTTATTTTTCGTGAAATAAGTGACCATTTTGTTATCCTTTTATTAATTAGTTAATTAATTTATTTTTGATTCATACTTGTTTTTGTAATTTTGTAATTTTTAACTCTGCATTCTATAAATTCTCAATTAAAAATCGCATGTACTTTACTTTCATGCCATGAAGAAATGAAAATTTCACAAAAACCATGTACGCTGGTTACTATGCTACACCTGGACTTGAAGGAACATCATCTTCATCATCAGTTCCACCACGTTCATCTTCATCGTCGTCTTCAACCAAGGTGGATGAAATTTGTGATAGCTTGTACAAGGTCATGATCAACAAGGACTGTGATACGTACGTATCTAATGGCTCACCCCTTTTCATGATACATTTTAATGTTTTAATTTGTATTTGAATTCAAAAATGTAATATGTAATTGTTTTTTTTTCTCTCTACTTCTATTTTTTATTTGAAGGTTCTTTCTCTCAATTTTGATGACGAATTTGAAACGCTGCCCACCAAATGTGGAAGGGGCACTTTCCGATATCAAACAGTTGAAAGGTCGGTGGCTCTCATTCATTCATTTCGCATTTCAATCCACCTCACTTCGTCGTCATGCAGCGTGACTGCCTGAGTGTACAGATGTAATTTTTCATTCATCTTAGAATGGTTAAATATGAAAATTTCTTGGTTAAAATAAACATATTGACATTTTTAAGATGAAACTGGCCAGATCGTCACCAAACGGGTTTGTCTGACCCTGAGATGGAAGACAATTTTTTTTTGATCGAAACTAACGGTCACCGAAATATAAAATATTGCATGCGGTATGAGATCTTGTGTTGGAAGAACGTTGAAAAGCAAGCATCGTTTGAAAATGTACGTTGCATCAAAGAGGCGATGCTAGTTATGATTCTAAAAATGTTATTTGGCAAGCGTAGTAACATTTTAAGATAATGGCGATGAAGGTGTAGAAGTCACTGCCGACAATTATTACAAAAAGTTTATTATACTAATTTTTAGACACGAAAATTTTAACAAACAACGTTTGTTGAAAATTATGAAAATAATTTAGATTATTTTTTTGAAGTTTATAAGGGCATGATGTTTAACTTTTTGAACGTTACTGATGACGATGATGGCTGTGACGGACGTTTCCAGTCGCTGAGGAGGGAAATCATTTGTTCTTTAATTAAATAATTCATTCATTCATTCATTCATTCATTCATTCATTCATTCATTCATTATATAAACTGAAGTTCATTTTTCAATCATAATTAAGAGGGTCTTGATGCGTTGAAAAAGGGAACATCACCTTCTACAACATCAGCAACGGCAACACCAACAACAGCAACATCAACAACAGATACAACAACATCAATATCAACAACAGCTCCACAGACAATACATGTAACGCCCACTATGAAAACAACAACCACAGAAGCGTTGAAATTCATTATTCGTTTAGTTGATGTCAACGAGTTGTTCAACATTGCCTTAGGTACATACGACCTTCAGCTTGTTGTCATGGTTGCAGAGATGTCGCACAAGGTCTCATTTCATTTCATGTCTCATGAATTAGTTGGAAATGTGTGTTGATTTGATTTTATCATCAGTTCGAAGTTTTTTAATGAAATTTTCTATTTGAAAATGCAATTGAAACAAATATCCATGTGCTGTTGTACAACATACATGCTGTTGCGATTTAATAACCCCAAAGACTGAAAAAGCATTTCACATTCTTAATATACGGTTCTGCGTGTCAATAGAACTTTTTAATCGATTCTTTTTGGACTAGATTTCTGGAAAAACATTTATGCCTTTCCATTCAATTACATGAAAATGAGATACACGAGCAAATTTCATAATACCTCAATACTTATCAATGACATACATGAAAATGTCAGATAGTATTACTGCACTTTGCAACAGGATCCAAAGGAGTTCCTGCCATATTTGAACGAGTTAAAGGAGATGCCGGAAAACCTTCGGAAGTACACAATCAACATGAAACTCAAGAGATATTCCCAGGCTCTCAAATACATCTCGGCTTGTGGTTCGTATTATACTATCCATGATGATGAGGATGGCTGTGATGATGAAAGTGTGATGGTTTTGATATTGTATGTTATGCTGATTATTGTATAGATATTGCTAAGTACTGAAGTGTTATTAGGCTTGTTCATGTATTTCATTGTTCAGTAAATATGGACTGATTTTTGTGATGTCAAAAATTGAATTATCAAAGAAATTTTCTGGTTGTGGTATTAACATTTGAGATGTAATGACGTCAATTAAACAAATGATATCGCGAAGTGGATAAAATGAAGAAATTTTAGTTGATTCCGCAGCATGTATTACAAATTATCTTTGAATTAAGATTTAGTTGTTATTGGTGAATGTTATTTCACTGCCGTGCTAACTTAACGCTATTACATTATGAAGGTGATGATCATTTCGTTTATTGCATGAAGTTAGTTAAGGAGCAAAGCCTCTACAGTGAGGCATTCAATCACTTCAAACAAGACACACCTCAGTACAAGGTTTGTTCATTTATTTATTGTATTCTCGTTTTGTTCGTTTCATTCGTTCAAAAAATAATGAGAAAAACTATGTTCGTCAAGTTTTTACAATTTGTTTGCACTTTATATTTTTACCGTTAATTCTTTTCAATTTTTAGTAGTTTTAACATAGATAAATACGTTCATTTAACGGATCAATTAATGAAAAATTCGCCTGATGATGACAATAATTGCAGGAGATAGCAGGGGCATATGGAGATGATCTAAAGCAGAAGAGATGTTACGAGACATCAGGCTTCATGTACTACAGAGCCCATATGTACCAGCAGGCCCTGGAGATGTTTGAGAAGATCCACAACTGGAGACTTGCTCTCGACTGCTTCTACAAGATACATCACAACAGCTGCAACATCAGTAGCAACATAGGTGACGATGGTAACAGCAAGGATGTTTCCGCTGGCGGAGATGCTGGAAACTTTAAATTGGAATTAGTGAAGTTTGCAAGACAGATGTCAGGTTTCTTGTTTGGTGCACTTAAATATTCATATGTTATTTCCCTTCATTAATCGTCACCATATTTATTGAAATCATAAATGCGCGACTATTATTTGATTATTTTGGGTGGATCAACATTTTTTTTTATATCAGCTATATAATTGCTGTCATCTACGATTTCTGACATTTTTGTTTCTTAATTTGATTAATAAAAAGAAATGTAACTTTAAAATATTGTAAATACAATTTGTATCTGAAAAATAAATTGATATGACACTTGCTTCGTAAAGTACCGCAATTATAGACAACCTTTGTATAGCGATCGTAGCGACAAGAACTTTGATTATAGCGCACATTTTCTGACCTCTGGCGGCTGGTATAGTCGAACTTTAAATAGATTTCTTTTTATACCAAATTCATTTACAGACTCCAGTGCAACATTTTATCGCGATTCACGTCATCTAAAATTTTTTTGTTATATGATCCACCCTGATAATCATGCACCTCCTGACAACAATTTCATAAACACTTTATCACACAACACGGCGCGTAGATGTGCAACAACTTAGAAACAACACAGCATGACAACTGCACATGCACAACATAACAACATATTCATAACAACACTACAGCTCGTCTGGTTGAGGCTCATCGGCATGGAGAAGCAGCCGTGCTTATGGAAAATTATGCTGATGTAACTTGCCTTCAATTAATTACTTGTTTATTTCTTATTTGTTCTTTTTTACTTTTTTAAGTTTTATCTTGTTACTGTTAACATTATCATAAAACTTTTGCCTGTTGTGTATTATAAAATAGTAACACGACATGACTGTTGTTTCATGCATTTTAGGATTACGAAGAGACGGTGAATATTTATGTGGCGGGCCACATGTGGCAGGATGCATTGGCTCTGGTTGGTGGTTTTGTTGCTATGTTGCTGCCGGTTGTGTTGTTATGTTGTTGCTGGTTTTGTTAGTGTATCATTGTTTTTGATGTAATCTCGAACTACTTAAGTTGCGTATTGTAGTGGTTCATAAAGTTGACTCATGGATAGCAGAATCTAATCTTTCACGCAACTGCATCATAACTTCCATCAGTAGAAACTTCAAAGTATGCTAACATCAACCAACCATTAGATAAACAGACACAGTCGACCCGACCTGATTAGCGCCAACTTGCTGCCTGCCGTCTTGAGTGCACTGCAGGAACAGAAAGATTTAATGAAGAAATCGAAGGAGGACTTCTCAAAATATTTCGAGAGACTGCAAGTTGTGAGGAAGATGAAGAAGGAGAAGATGGCGATGGAAGACTTCGTCGACGGTTGGTTCTTATAGTTGCTTTGCTGATTGCCTCATTCTCCAATTAAAACAATTGAAGTATTGGTTCATTTGTTTACATGATATTCATCAACAATTGCTTATGCTGTAAAGTTGATTAGGTAGAGAATGAAAAAAGTTTATAACCAATTGTTAATGATGATGATGTACCTTTTATCAGTCAATCGTTCGCATATTGATCGAATTTCCACACATGCAAACTGCAGTGAAACTTCACATTGCTCTTTGATTTAACAACCTGACAGATGAACGAAGAGTGTACCCATCGGATTTGTACTCGGACACGTCGAGCGTCGGTGATGCCGAGAGTGTGACGTCATCAACCATTTCGTCATCAACAGCTACCAGTAGGAGATCTAAAAATAGCGGGTATGTATGATCGTGTCTGTGTGGTCATGTTTTGCTTCTCTTCATTGCATGCGTGACTGGTGCTAAAACTTTTTAATAACTAACGACTTTTTGATAGATATATAGAGAGAAATATGTATATTGGTATTAAAAATCATTACCTCCACACGTTTTCAATTGTTGTGCCGTGCAGTCGCAGTTTGAAGAGCAAGCAGAAGAAAAATAGAAAGAGGTGGAGTTTGAGGGAGGGAGGACCAACTGAAGAATTTGCCTTGATGGAGTTTCTCCACAATTCAATCACCTCCGTGCAGAGGTGGAAAGGTCAGGGCAGTTACTCTTACATCACCCACTAGGAAACATACAATTCATTTTCAACATGTTTTTTTCCAGATGAGGTTGGTCAACTTGCACGGATATTGGTGTTGTTCGCGATGGATAAACCTGCGGAGGAGTTGCAGGCAGAGTTGATTGAGTTGGTTGAAATGATGGATGATTCAATCGAACGCATCTGGTTATCTGGCGGTGCTGATCAGGAGAGTCCTCGGTCCAACATGGTTGGTGATGACGTCATTATTGAATTTACTTCATTTTTTATTGGCTTTTACAACAGTCATCTTTTAAACTTCCATATCTATTGTCTTCTTATGTGTTGAAGATGTATGGCGCGGAAAGTTCATCGAATTCGATTTCCAGATCATTCAACACGGCCGACGCCAGCAGCAGAAAAGATGCAAACTTGTCAGCCACCAGTCAGTGTTTTTTTTCAGACAATTTAGTAACGGTCTCGATTAAATTTTTCTTATAACGACTCTTGGAATTTTTGTTTTATCATTTTTTTCATCTTTATATGAAAAGTACATTTTTCACTTTTGCTAACAGATTCCATTTTGGTTCGCCCTCCTTTCTTTGATAAGGATGCCAGGTGGAGACTATTGTTTGTGTCCTGATGTCAACTTTCAGTCTACTATATTCTGTTTTAATTTGCATATGTTTTAATTGATTGCTTATATAATAATAGTTTTATAAGTTGATTTTGTTTAAAAAATTATTTTTCTAAGGCATTGGTGTTGTTGTTATTTAACACTGATCTGAATGATGTTGTTTTTTGACGTGAAATGAATCTTTTGAGAATTGTGACATTAATTACAATTACTAACAAGGGATTGACTGATCGGAAAAAGAAAACTAATTTCAGGCGAAAATATTTCTGGGTTTTTTTTTAATCAAAAAATATTTTGACACAAAATAATTTAAAAATAATTCATATCTATTTTATGAATTTTCCTTAAAAATGTATAGTCTGCTTTTCATTGAAATTTTTCATAAAAGCGTAAATCGAAGTCAATGTACCAGTCAATATTGATAGTAAAATATCTTAGTATTTAACGATATTGTTAAAATCTTTGAAAGCTTTTGAAATTTTTTCTAAATCATTACTCTTTAAATTTGAATGAGCAATGAAAAAAAATTTTTAAATGAAAAAAATAAAAATTTAAATGAAAAAGTTACATGAAGACTTCAATTGAAACTATCGCAACTTAATCCTTTTTATTCTGCCATCAAAACGCTTTCTCAGAAACGCTCATTCTGCAATAATTTTATAAATAGTTTTGTTTCTTTAATAAAAATTGGCTTTTAAAACTTTTTAAGTACAACTGCTTGATTCTAAGAAAGCTGGAAAATTCATTAAACGCAGATCTGATTAAAAATGCTCTGCAATCCATTGATACCAGATATCAACTTTTCTCATTACCGTATCTTTTCAGCCTTCGAACAATTGAGATTTATTTTAAAAATTCCAAGAACATTTATTTGTTAGTACGAACTTATGCTACTAACAAGACGCCTTGTTGTGAGTTAAAATAAATAAAACAAACACAATTCAGGCGTAATAAAATATTATCTTTATTCCCACGTGAATCTCGAACCGTTTCGTTTTACAAGCTATCAGGAAAAAGGGAAGAAGTCGAGAGAGAAGCAAAGACATAAAAATTAACATAGATTAAGTAACATTAAAATTGCAATAATCTTTAATAATAATTAATATGTGAGAGAGTTTATAAATGAATGTTTGATCCCTACATATTATTTATTATATTGCCCATTTGCGCCGTACTTCAATACCGTCACACAATTGATTCAACACATCACGTGACACCAATGTAGAAAGACAGGCTGCACAAAAACATATATCTGAACACAAGCCTTCTCATTATACACACGCATCAACACTACACGCAGCAACATACATACAGGCAGACATGCACATACACAGGCAGACATATGCGCATACTTGCAAATACAGGCGGCTCAATGGCAGAGAGGGCGGTGGTGCGGTGAATATGAATGTTTCTCTCCTGTTTGTTTGCATTGGTTTTTGTTTACATGCAAATATCCCTTCATTCCTGGGAGTGAGTATCTTGCGAGCAGCGGTTGTTTATATAATTGATGCGCTGCAACAAAAATAAAATGCAAATTGAAATATCGCACGAGGTAACGTTCAGACAGACAAGAAACAACGACAGCCATGATTTTATTGCGAACCACTAACGCGAAACAAAACATCAAAAGCAGCTGTAAAAACATTTTCAACACATAAAAAGTTCGGA